TGTGTTTAATATTATAAAAATAAATTCCTTGTTAACAGTAAATAAAACTTTTCAAAAAGTAAAGCACAGCACTAACAATTCCAGCATGAAGTTTTACTCAATCTTCATATTTTTGGCTAGAAAAACCAACTTGTCCACATTGTCTGCAGTAAGTGCAGATCTGCTGCAGTTACATTGTCAGAGATTCCGTGCTGGTGAAAGGTGAAAGTGACGACTGGGGCGTGACGACCGTAGTTTTGTGAGGATTCACGTTGTTCAGAGGGACGTAGTTAAGACGGGCGGCAGTAGTTGCCACCCTAACTATAAAGCACTGTGGGAAACACTGCCACCCCAATCACGGACAAGTTCCCTCGTGAATATTAAAGAGCTGAGTCTTTGTGTAGTTGCACGTGTAGTGGCGGAATGTAAACACATACAAACTGGGTGAACGTACTCGTGCACAGCCCTGCACTGAACCCAACATCCCTTACCAAAACAGTTCAGCACCAATACATGTACCGTTACACACCTACAATCTATGGTTCGCCTGTCCTGTCTGTAGTTACATTATTTATTGATTATATTTACATTTTGTTTTGTGTAATGCCAACCTGCCAGGAGGTCATGGAAATAGAAATGAGACCAAGGGTCATATTTAAGTATGTCTAAAATAATGTTCATTAATATACACCGTTCCCACTACTCTTAAAGAAATAACTACATTTGAGAGTTCTGTAATGGATTTTGAGGATTTTTTTTCTGTTTTGTTAGTGTAGGTCAAGCTGAGGTCCACTTCCCCACAGAACTAAATTCACTTGTAAACACATGAGAAAAGAACTGCAGTAATGACACGCTGACACAGTAGCACATTGTAAAGGCTAATATGCGATGAAATTATCAGGCCATTTTCACGCCAGCCTTCAATATTTTGGTTATTACATGTTTTATGTTTTAATAAGCGCTAATTTCCTCAAGCTTTCTAATTAAACTTCCTTAAAAAGTAGGTACCACGCTGCGATTTCGCCTCACCCTGCTATTTGCTCATTTTGCAGACACCAAAGCTAATTTTTCTGCCTCATAAAAGACCCAGTTCGCTTCACACTTTACACCATTTTGGGGAAAAATTAGCCTATCTGAGCAGCTTTGAAATAAAAGCACCCAAATTACACAGTTATGCTGGCTTTTCCGTATTACAAAGTCTAAAGGAAATTAATAAATTAGGGTTGTCAAAAGTATCAAAAATCAAATGCTGCATATTTCCACCTTGTGATGTCATGTGGTAATACAGGAAGTGCTCCACGGTGTTTTTAAACTCCATACACCTTCACTAGAATCATTTGGATCATTTCAGTCTTGGATTTGCTTGCTAATCTCTAATGAACTAAACGTAAAAGGAGCTGTTAACTTGAAAACTACCACTACATGTAGGGTGACCAGATTTTCAAAATGGGCGGTTGGTAATATAAAATTATGAACCAAGTGTACAATTAAGGAACATTTTTATGCATTTGGCACCAACATTGGTCAGTATAGTCACATTTTCTTTGTGTTTTGATCATTTTTACACAGCTTTTCAGTACTTTACCTAAACAAATGACAATGTATGCCTCTCTTTACTGTTGGTAGGGATCAGATTGGCTAAAATTAGGGACACTTGGGACATTTCTTGTATAAAACTGGGACAAATCACTGGTTTTGGATAAAACTGCTGGGACAGGGGACTTAAAACTGGGACTGTCCAGGGTAAATAGGGATGTCTGGTCATTTTAACTACATGACATCCCAAGGTGGAACAGAACATTTTGAGCTTGGGAGATGTAAACAGACTAATAACATGTGAATGAAACAAAACACAACTCTAGGTATGCTTTTGAGAAAGTAACAACATTCTAACATGTCTTAAAGCTCATTCCAGTCCATTTTGCGTAATATAGGACCTGTAAAGTTGAAAATCACGTTCTATTGTTTAAATAAAGAGTGCTTTCTATTATCAATGTGATATTGGAAACTGTACCAAATATCCACCATATTCCTTAGTATCGAAATCATGTTTGAAATATTAATATCTTGATGACACTAGAATGAATGTACTACTTTAAACAACACAGGCAGTTTGACCAGATGTCCCTATTTACCCGGGACAGTCACAGTTTTGAGCCCTGTGTCCCCTGTCCCAGCAGATTTACTCAAAGCCACTGATTTGTCCCAGTTTTATACAAGAAATGTCCCAGGTGTCCCTGTTTTTGGCCAATTTAATACCTGCCAACAGTAAAGAGAGGCATAAATTGTCATTTCTTGAGATAAAATACAAAAAATCTGCTTAAACAACAACCAGAAAAGAAAAGAAAATGTAACTGTGATGAATCACATGTTAGTCATGAATGGTCTCTGCATAACAATTTTCCTTAATTATGCATTCATTTCACAATTTTATTATTACCAACCACCAAAAAACAGTGATGTCCCAGTTTTTTTATTTTGAAATTCTGGTCACCCTAAACACAGGGCATGTTAGTATTAACATCACAGTCCTATAGATCTAAAAGTCAATATGTACAGCACACTGTTGGAAACTATTATGCAATGAACAACTGAGTGAAAAAGACAGAGCTCTACAAACACGTTATACTCTATGGTAATGTTTTTCTTTTCAAGTTACAGGCTAATCTTTCTGTTTTTTCTTTCTGGTTGGTGAATAACTTAGAATAAAAATGGATATTCACGTCTGAAGTTAAAGATCCTATGTTCAATTTTGAACCATGAGTGAGAAACATAGTAGAAAAAAACCACTTAACTTAAAGCTACACTGTGTAACATCTTATCCAAAAAAAAAAAGTCCTCCTTACTGAGTGGGGCTGCATCTCCACAAACCTGACTCTTACTTGGCCTGGTTGTTTCCATTCCGTTGTATTTTCCTTAGTGTGGCATAAAATGTGCACCTTTAAAATGAATGATGTGCCTGGACAGAGTTCATATCTGACTAAAATATGGCTTACCCAGTTGAAGAAGTTAAGCATATGAGGAAATACATAAAAGTCACATGGTTTTATATCAGTAGTTATATGATCTTATATGGTCCGTGTACCATTTGTTCTTGTGATTTGCAATTAAGAATCAAAAACAATAAAAAGGAAAAACAGTTTGTTATTTAATTATTCCGATTTAGAATAAAAAAATAAAAAAAAACAGATTATGACCTATATTTCCATTATTTAGTTTAAAGTTTATTTCAAATAACACCATTCAGCAACAGTAATTGTGCATATTTCAATTTTGATATTTTATTTTCTCTGGTTTAGCTCATATTTCAAAGTTTTTGGATGCCAAAAAGATCCAGGCTAAATACATCTGCTTGGAGCAGGCAAGACAAATGCAGAAATTTCACCACAGTGAAGCAAAATGGAATTAAGATGTGCTCAGAAATGAAAATTTTAAGATTTTGTCAAAAACACAAAGGCGCAAAGGATTGGTTACTGCAGAGTTGGAAAGAGCTATAATGGGCTCATTTTGGGGACAAACATGTTGGCTTCTTTTACAGCAACGCGTTTACTTTTGCATCTTCGAAAGTAATTGCTGAACTCTATGATGAGAAACAGGTAGCAACGATAAACTCTCCTTTGCTCAGTTGACACTGAATTCACCCACAGTGTGCTAAGCAGCAGAACTTCTGGGGGAAATAAACCAAAATGTCAAAACTGAAATAGGCACAGAGACTGTTTTGTGATATAAACTTTAAATTAAATATTGGAAATAGACATCGAAATCTTTTTTTTTCTTCTTTTTTTTAATATAAATTTTACACCAAAACGGAATAATGAAATAACAAACTGTTCTCCCATTTTATTGTTTTTTGTTCTTACTTGAAATTCAAAAGAACAAATGGTACATGGACCCAATATCTGCAGAAGGCAAAGGAGAAATTGAATTTGTCAACTGGACAAATGTTTATTTTGGTTGAAAACATTACTGAATAAATGAAGACAAAATAAACGTTTGTCCACTTGGCAGAGTGAATTTCTACTTTGCCATGGATTCTACTTGGACGACTGAGGGATTTTACAAAAGATCTGCAAAAGTCTTCCAATGTTTCGAGTCACAGGTAAGGTCATAACATAACAATATGGAATAATAAAACAATATACAAAATGTTTTAAAATTAAAAATCATAAAATACATTAAAATTGCTCACACCTTTGGTTCATTGTGTGCCAAACTCGCCCAAAAAGACTACATTCACTAAAAAGCTACTACAACAACTAACAGGTCAACAATATCAAGTCAAAAGCAGGTGACAATACCAGAATACCACAGTCTGCAATTCAGTTTAAAGATGCACCATGTAACTTTTCAGGTTGAAGATTGGCTATCTGCTTGTCTCCATAGAGGTTTCATCACATATGGTATGGCATTAAGCTTATGCAGCTCCATGAAGATAGAGCGAAGTTACACGTTACAGGTCAATCTATGGAGAGTTGATCCTTCTCACACTAAAAATGCATGTTTTAAAGCAGAGGCATCCAACCTGGAGCTTGGGAGCTACTAGAAGCTCTCCACCCTCTTCAAAGTAGCTCACCAAGGAGTTTCTGTATTATATTTGTTGTGTCGAAGAACTAAAACTGTATTAATTGCCACTGTAAGCGTATCATTTTGAAGCTTAACTTTGAAGTAAGCCTTGAGAAATAAAAACACCTGTAATTGTATAACTACCAAATAGATACAGTTATTGCATTGCATTGACTGTGGAGCATTCCAGTAAAAGCCCTAACATCACCATGGAAACAAGCAGATGGTGTAACCCCTCCACCAGAAAAGTTACATAGTGCAGTTTTAAAAATCCAACATCCAAAATAGCCAATAACCTCTCACTGTTGATGCAACGAGTGGGTGGATCCTCAAACTACTCCAAAGCTGCCATCATTAAGCCTTCTATTTACAATAACAACATTAAGACCATCCACAATCCAATAAGACTATCCATAACGCGCACAGCTCCTTCCCCAGCGCGCACCCAGTCTCCTTACCGTCCAAGTTCTCCCTGTCGCTGATGTGCTGGAGGTTGCAGCCCGTGTCCTCCCTGCTCAGCGCTTGCTCGGGTCCGTACGGTTCCAAGCGCGAGTGGTGGTTGTTCCTCCGGTGTTTGGGGCTCGACGCCACGCAACAAGACGTGCTATTGCCCATGCTGTGCGCGGGTGACCGTCAGTTAGTTCGTGTCTGGCACCGCGTCTTGTTTTATTATGCGTAATTATTCCCACGCTGGTCTCGATCAGAAACGTTGCGATGGGGAAATCACTCAGAAAATGGGGCGGTTACGTGGAAATCGCACGGTGAAGCAAAATAAATTGTAGTTCCAGAGTGCCTTCGCATAAAAAACGCTTGTATGAAAAAGAGAAGTCGCGCACAGTGACAAGAAAATGCGATTTAATCTAGAAAGTAATACGCTGTCCAGATCTTGCAGCCTGAAATCAACTCGCGTCGCCTTTACGCACCACTCCCCCGGTTTAAAATCCACACCGGTGCGTCCATTTACGACTCATTTTTGGCACGCTGTAAATTCCAACGACAGACATGAAAAAGGACATAAACGCACGTCAGACGGGATCACTTTCGCTCCGTGCGCTACATGGTTGCCCAAATGCACTGAAGACCGCAGCTGCTACATCCGCTGTTGCGCTGCTTTCAATCGCTCCACGTCAACTCGGAAATTTCACATAAAAAAGCAAAACACACCATTTAAAATAGTCACGCGTCGTTTTAAAGCCTAATTAATTTTTTTGTAACATAAATAAGTCTAACATACAGTATATTACAATTGCTAAATGTATATATTTTAAATGATCTTCACAATTTAAAGTTATAACCCTTTTACGAGCAGGCGTGCAATACAGATAAAAGAAAAGACGCCTAATTCCCGATGTCACACAAAATCATCAGCGTTTTGACAGTAGACGAACAGGTTCCGGTTCAAAATTGTCAATAAACTGATTTAAAAATGAAATTATTATAAATGTAACAATGCAACATATCGTCAATTATTATTTTATTAAAGATTATGGTCTAGTAAACAAGTAAAATGTGGAAATACGTGACATTAAGCCGAATTATAGTATACTAGGTCTTTTCGCTAATAATACAATATTTTCTTTGCTCTGTTTAGGCATATTTGACGATTTGAGCTAATGACAAAATCCCATTCGGTTTAACACGAGGAAATAGGACTTCTTATAGCTCACTAAAACTGTAAGCAGCTATGTTTAAGTCAGTAAAATGCGATTATAAACAAGCTTGTTACAGAGGCAACGTCTTAATGATTAAATTAATCCTTTATGGCAGGCAAGTGTGCACAACCAATGTATGAGATGGATTATTGCAGTTGCAGTCTGGGATTGGGCATATAAAGGCACAATGTTATAGTGACGCCTACTGGTGGTTAAGTTGAATTGCACAACAATATTTTCCAAATCAAGACTGTTGCATAGCTCCACAATAGTTAATTATATATATAAAAAAAGAAACCTATTATTTTTGTTCATCAGACTAATTTCTTTCAAGCCTATGTGATGTCCTTATACACTTAGAATTATATTTACCCAGTTACATTTATTTAAAGCAAATGTACTTTTCAGTGTACTTTTCCAGCAGCTGTACTCTCACTCCAGTAAAAGTTTTGATTGCTTTGTCTTCACACTGTGAAAACTAAACAGATATGATTTAGTTTTGTTTTTTTGTTTTTGTTTTTTTTTTTATCATTTTTGTGTCTATCCTTTGAAAATAACATAAGAATAATATTGGGAATACTCCAGAAAGACTTGCTGTGTCTGAAGGCATTCTAATACTACTACCACTACCACTATCACTACTACTACTACTACCATTACCACCACCACTACTACTACTACTACTACCACTATCACCACCACTACTACTACTACTACTACACTATCACCACCACTACTACTACTACTACTACCACTACCACTACTACTACTACTACTACTACTACTACTACCACTACCACTACCACTACTATTACCACTACTACTAGTACTACTACTACTACTGCTACATCTACATCTACATCTACTACCACTACTATTACTACTACTACTACTACTACTACTACTACCACTACCACTACTACTAGCACAACTACTACTACTAATAATAGATCTAATCAATAATAATAATAAAAAATACATCTAATAAACAATAAAAAACAAAACAAACTTTTGTGCATTATTTAATGTTTTGTCCTTCAAATTATATTAATTTCAAATAACATGTTATGTCCTGACAGTTACTCTTTAAGTTACTTTTACTTGAATAGTAATTTTCTCCAATATTTTTTTCGGATTGCTTGGTCATTTCTCAGAACACTACTTTGCACTTTTGCTTGAGTAATATTATTTTGAAGTAATGTTGCACTTACTTGAGTAACACATTTGGTTACTCTACCCACCAGTTTCTTATGAACAGAGCTCTGTTCTCAGTTTCAGCTGAACTCTGCGTCACATGATGTAGCAGTGACGTGGTCAGCTGATTTAAACAGATTTTGGTTCTGTCATTGTATTGGGAGCTGCAGTACAGGCCGAGTATACACTGCATTTAACCTCATTTAAAAGTGTGTGCACATTCCAGGTGTGTAAAAAAAAAAGAAAAAAAAAAGGGATGTTCTTGCTGTGAGGCCCTGGAATTGTCACTCTCAACTAAACTAAAGGTAAAAAGAGCTGTTAACTTGAAAACTACAACTTCATGACATCATAAGGTGGAACAGACTAATAAAAAGGCTAATAAAAACTTACTCAAACATGTGTGAATGAAACAAACTACAACTCCAGGTCTGTTTTTTGATGAGGTAACAGCATTATAACATGGTGTAAAGTACACAAGAGCACCTGCTTGTCTCCATAGTGATGTTACTGCTTTGTATACAGAAAAAATATTCCACAGTATGGCATTAAACTACATGGGATATTGTAGGGGTATTATAGTGTTGTTATTGCTCAAAACCTGTAACTTGGTCCTTTCAGCTAAAGCAATAACATCTGTTGAGACAAGTATGTGGCAGACACTCCAGGAGAAAAGTTACACACTATACCTTTAAGAATTTGATTTGAAACGATTCATCTTCTTTTCTCCTTTTAGCAGGAACCGTCTGGACTAAAGAGTGTGGAGAGTCTGATTGCACATTCACAGAGGTGTTCAGGTTGAGTCATGAGTGGACAGAACATCATGTTCTGAGCTCTGAACACGGCTTATACACTCATGAGAAAATGATAAACATCAAACTGCACTGAATATTTTCTGTAATAATTCCGGTTGAATAAATACATGACCATGTTTCACGTCTCAATTAGCTGTGTAAAAATGAAAATTTTCCAGTTGAGGGTATGACACCTGTTTCTATGGAGATGTTATCGCTTTATCTGCAATATATGGCATTCAACTAATCTGTTTTACATTTATTTAATTACAGGTGTTTTTTCATTGAAAAACATCTTGACAAACATGGATTCATCTACTGTCAAGGGGACACTTCTCCACAGATCTGACCTGTAACTTGGCTTAGTCACCTGCTCCATGGGTATTATTATTTGTAATGTACAGTTTGTACAATATACAGTATTTGTGTATGCCTCACTGCCGTTTTCAAATAACAGACCTATTCAAATCAATTCAATCAATCAAATCAATTTAATGTGGATTTTTTACTAAATGTATGTGTACCTGTTTTTACTTGAACCCCCAAGAGCCCTGCGCACGAACTCCACTGTGAATGAACTTTTGTGTGTGCACAAATGGCAAATACATTTCTTGAATTGTGGATCTTCAATACCAGCCAGGCTGGCACCACTTAGTGCCTCCGTTCAATTTAATTTCTCTCCTAGGATAGGAAGCAGAATACACTAGACAGTTTGCAAGAACCCCGGAAGTTGTAGACCACACACTGGTCAGCGAAGAGCTGTGAAGCCATAACGCCAGACTGGTACAACACAACAGTAAACAAAGTGGTCGAGAAGGATGGAGACGAAGCTATACATTCTGTGTTGGCAATGATTCCCGAAATCAAGGATTTTCACTCTGGTTTGTTTGCTGTTGTGCAGGCAATTACTTGGACACCACTGAGCATTCTGGCACATATTATATACATCGTGACCAAATAGCAGCAGTTGGTTAAATAAAAAAAAGAATTAATCTGGCTACTTCAATACTTGCCCTAGGTACAAATCATCTTAGTGGGTCCAAACTACATGTTGTCTAATGAAAAATGGATATTAGAGGACTTTGTGAGGAGCCCCTTTACTCTCTCTAGTCCACCGCTGAGTGGACCACCTTTAAGAGAGATCAGGAACAGAGCAGGCTGTACTTTCTCAGAAGAATGAAGTTCTTTAACATCTTCCAGATGCTCCTGCTGATATTCTACCAGACAATCTTTTCCAGTGTCCTCTTCAACGCTGTGGTCTGCTGGGGAGGAAACTTCAAGAAGAAGGACGCTATGTGACTGGTGAGGAAGGCAGGATCTGTAGTGGGTGCAGAGCTTGACTCTCTCACATTTGTGGCTGAGAAGAGAACCCTAAACAAGCGCCTGTCCATCGTGGAGAACCCCCAGCACTCTCAGCACAGCACCATCACCAGACAGGAGAGCACCTTTGGGAACAGGCTGTTGTCCCTGCCCTGCTCCATGGACACACTCTGGAAGTCGTTTGTAGCACAGACTATACGGCTGTACAATGCTTATAATTTGATAAATTGTCATAAATGGATGTTATGTATTATATTACGTATGTGTATTGTACTGTGTGCTGCCTGAAAAACACATTTCCTTCGGGATAATAAGTCCGGACACTATTCTTTAACCAGACAAGTTTCTTAGTTACACACAGTTAGTCATACACCACATAGAAAACTTTGTCAGGTAAAACTTTATTGAAAGACACCATTTAAAAAGTTTGAGCAATACGCAAATGTATATTATAACTAGTGTGGAGAACGTCTTTTAAAGCAACACATATGACATTCTCTCGTAAGCATTTACACACCAACTCATTTGGATATTTAAGCACTGAGTAGGCCTACTATCAAAACGTACTTGTCTTGGTTGAATAGTAGTAGTAGTAGTAGTAGTAGTAGTAGGAGTAACCAAATACACAATCCTACATTAAAAAATATAACTTTTTACATCTTAACTCACCGCATATACAACATACAACTCTCAATAACAACAAAAAACATAAAATAAATAAATTATAGAGCAAAAAATTTTCTAATTTCTTCAAAAGTGTAGCTAATTTGGACTTTAAGGCATTTCTATTTCCAAATCTATTACTACCTACGGTCCAATGAGAAGCAAAATGAGTGACAAATTCAATATTTTGTAAACTATGAATTGTGAAATCATGTGTTTGTGCAGTTTCAACAATTGTGCATATATTTTTTGCTTATTCTGTACACGTTTTTGTACTTTTTGCTATTACGTTTATTTTATTTCTGACTCTACTTGCTGGTGCAGCATCACATAGGCAGACAAACCACTGACATTTCGTACAAGGATAGTTAGTGTGTGCTTGAAAAACTGTCAAAAAAAAAATCCCAGAAAATCCAAATTCTTCAGTGGTGCCGATACAGCAGTTTTAAGTTTCGTAGTTCATCCATGAGAGCTTTGTTTTGGTTTTCCAACAGGGCAACGCGATTTTCCAGACATCTGACGTACTCCTTTTTCTTGCGTCGGCATTGCCTGGCGGCCTCCCTAAACACACACACACAAATCGCTTTCAGTTAAAGGGCACAGGTTTTCATACTTTTCTAATTACGACTCGGTCGGGACGGACTGTGCTTATGGTCAATATTTATCATAGTTTTACATCAGTAATGTGTCAGCTTGTGAAAGAAAATTTTAAGGAAAAGTACAAAAATGCAGGAAGTAGCTCTGCCTATGTCATCAACAGAAAATTCCACCCAAAATGTGGGACAATTTACGCACAAGGAAGATATTTTTCCTCATTTAACTAAATAAAGGTTAAACTATGCACTGTGTAACTTTTCTGGTGGGGAATCCGTCACTTGTTTCTATGGAAATGTCATTGCTCTTCTTGGAATGTTCCACAATATGACATTAAACAGCACAACAACAATCCGTGTACAATTGGTTCATTCGTTTTTTAATATAAAACCAAAAATAAGAAATCGAAAAAACAACTCTTTTCTTCATTATTTGTCTCCGGAATCAAAATGAAAACAATTTGTTTTTTCAATTTTGTGTTTCAATGAATAATGGAAAAAACGGATAACGACCATTTCCCGTTTACGTGACTTAAACAGAGATGCCGGACTTTTGCGCCGTATATGGACTGAACCAGGACAGAACCAGGTCTCAGACCAGTCGAGAACCAGACCGGGATTGAGACCAGGACTTAGACTGAGATCAGACCAGGACTGAGTCTGGAACCAGGACCAGGTCTGAGACCGGGACTGAGTCCAGGACTAAAACTGGGACCAGCACTAGGGCTGAGACCAGGACTGAGACCGGGACCAGACCGGGACCAGACCGGGACCAGACCAGGGCTGAAAACAGTTTAGTCCTGATCCTGTCCTAGACTGTGACACTGCCCAATCCTAGGTACTGATTAAGAAAATAAAATTGGAATATGAAGTAAGTACAGAGCAGTGGGTGAGTATCAGTGATTGTGAACACGGGGGTTGATTGGAACAGTGATGTGGTGAATACAGGAGAATAAAAATCACTCCAACACGCATGAATCACTCTAAATACTACTTTGAGAAGGAAATTGAGAAGTGGAAACAACTGTAACATGACTAAAAACTCTACAAAGCCAATCTTGCAGACCTTTAATAGCTTTAATCATAACTACTGTGTAATTTAGACACGTTTTGAACTTTTCCATTGCTATAGGTAACCGTCATAAGCAATTAACCTTCACCAAAACTCAAAATGACATCAACTGTGTTTTAGTGAAGCGACTTGTCAAACCTGTCATATGTACGGTAAAATCAATCATCAAATGTTACATCATAACGTCATAAAAAGTAAACAATGTCTGACAATGTTGCGTTGTGGCACGTTGAGAGTAGTACTTGAAGGAGTCGTGTACTTTCTATTGCGTAATCGTATATGAGCGTATAATAAGTAATGGTCTAACTCATAACACAACACGGTGTTATTACGAGTTACACGTGCCCATGTGGTGTCATAATAATCATAGGGATGTTCTCTTTTAATTATGAGCTACTGTTTTAGAATCATTTTAGCATGTTACGTAAGGACTTTAATGGAAGGTCCCAGAATGACAATAAAATGCATATGACAGGTTTTTCGTGTTTGTGTATAATTATGACTTGGTTTGGTAGTACACATAGTCAATATTTATCATAGTTTTACATCAGCTAAGTGGAAGTTTGTTTAAAAAAGATTTTAAAAGTACAAAAAGGAAGTAGCGGTGAGTTCTAAAAAGCACCAACAATTTACTGTACGCACTAAATGTTCATTGAGGAGGCGAAGCAAATATTTATTTTTGATTTATAATTTCACTGTCAGTTTAAGATTAAGATTAGGGTTAGGATTAGGTTTAAGGAGCAGTTCATTTGGTTAAATTTAGGGATTTGGGACATGAAACAGAGCCTAGTCCCACCTGGTAACAAAATGCAGAACATTTAAGGAACCTATGGGAGAATTTATGGGAGACAAGATTTTGTCCTTGTTTACAGTATGGGTAACAGTTAAGAACATCTACATGTCATATCGGCTATCTGTGTCCAATCAGGAAGTCAAACTAAACGGAAATCAGATGGAAAGTCCCCCTGGCTGGAAGGTCCCAAAGCTGGAAAGTCCCCCTGAATTGTACCCTTTATGAACAAATAAGTAAAAATAAAAGAAAAAATTTTCATGATACATATATTGTGTTTGCACACACAAACGTTACAATATATCTCAACACATTTGGTCATACATACAAACAAAAGAGGCAAAACTAATGTGGTCTCTCCAGTGGAAACTCATGTGTTCTCAATAAATGTGCCATAACTATTTCAGAATTTTATCTTACATATTTCAATGAAATACACAGTTAAGACCATGGCCTAATATTTGGTCTCGCTACATGCACATTTCTTTACACACGCACACACACACACACACACACACACACATATATATGATGCTGATTTTCTAACTCAATACATCGCATACTAAAGGAGGAGGAGGGGGACGCTCCCACCAAAAGAAGGACGACTTTCAAACCAGGGGAACGCTCAAGCCGGTATTCAACTAAACACTTCACCAAAAATAACATGCTTTTTAAGGTATACATTTTATTGAACTCCATGGGGAAATTTGTCCTCTGCATTTGACTCAGTTTCAAACATGATAAATTCTCATATCTAAATGAAATCTATATAACTACTGTGTTAAATCCATGTCTTCAGTGCTTATGCACTAGTAATGTAAGTTTTGAAATAAAAACGTTTGGGTGTCACATGCCCTCTGCTGGCAACAGTGGGAAAGATATTTGTTGAAATTACAACATAGCAGCATAACTAACAACATCACTCTTACAGATACTGTATCAATCAATGGTCTGACGCACTGGCATGTTTGGTTTCATAACCTGGATTTGTATATTTGTTTCATTTCCTACTTAAAGAGGGTGGTTCCTTTGAGATTTGGAATTTTGAGTTCCGGGAGTCAGCCACAGGGAGAACATGTAAACTCCACACAGGAAGTCTCAAACATCTCTAGAAATCAAACCCAGAACCAAGGCTGGATGAAATGACAAATAATTATGCTTTTTCCCCCTCATATTGATCAATCTCGATTTGTGATTACATTTTTGTCTTAAAAAAACAAACAAACAAAAAATAATAATGTTAATTTGTTTTCCTCCAAAGTTTGAATGTCCATGCATTTATTGACAGAGGACTGGTGTAGATTTCCTCCATTAAAAACAGCTGATCATTGACGATTAGAAATGACTGAATCATTATTCAATGAATTAAAATTAATTGAACACTAGCACATCCTTACCCAGTACCGTCTTGCTGTGAGGCTAGTGCATTAACCGCTATACAACCACATCTGACAACACCTTTTTGCAGCCTGATAAGAGCAGACCATGTGGCCGCTGTGCCTGTTCTCTGTATGAAGCATGAGCAGCATACCTGTTCTTCATGAGGCGGATGGCCCTCTTGTGGATTGCGTCCTCGGTGAGCTGTTTGGCGTCATGTACACTGGTGCCCGCCCCGCTCTGGTGGGAGGAGCTAGTGCCGGGGTTCCGCATGTGGTAGGCAGACAGGTCGCTGGCACTGCCTAGAAATCACAACAAGAGAAGATGTTTTATTTATCTTTTGAATAAAGTCCTCAAAATAAACCAATTAATAGTGACTGCATCTTTTACTGCCACAAGAGCCAATACAGAGATAGTAGAAATCAGACATATAGATTGATATATTGGTAGGCTAATTATTGGTGTATTGGTTATAAACCTTAGATCTCTAGCACAGATATTATTAAATGTGAGTACACAGCTCTCTTATCTCTAGGTTCAAGGTAAAACATGGCTGTGGGTGAGTTTGTAGCCAATTTCAATTAAATAATCTGAGGAAAATAATCAAAATCATGTGTACACATTGGCTCCAAAATATTGGCAGAGCTTATCGGCCATTGGTTGCTGAAGAAAAACAAAACAAAAAACGCACTGGTCATGAAAAAACTAAGGCTGTAACAATAACCGAAACATTGTGATATTGTATCGTCAAAAGTCTCACAATAATATCATGAACTGTCACAATATATCGAATTACAAGTTCCATTGCTTAAACGCATGGTTTTATAGTAGTAACAGCTTAAAAACATAAGGAACTACATATCCCATGATTCATTTCAGTGCAAACAACCTGAAGAAATATGTTTTTGACTTGAATTCTTGGGATTATGACGGAAATAATTCACACCAAAATCTTGTCAGGGTATTTTAAAAGCAAAAAAGTGTCCTATCTACAATTATATCAACCTCTCCAAAATATCACAATAAATATCTTACTGTGAGATGCATATCATGGTAATATTGTACCAAGAGATTTGGATAGCGTTACATCCCTAGAAAAAACCTATATCATGTCTCTTTTCTGCCATTTGCTCGTATGGTATTGAATTTCTAAAACTGGAGTTTATTTCATAGTGCTAAAAGAACACCTTCCATTCTGTGAGCAGATTCGTCTCTCCACAGGTTACATGTAACTTGGCCTTGTAACTGGCGTCATCTGCTTGTTACCATGGAGATAGACAAATTCAGTGCCATAACTTTAGAACATTTCAAAGCACAAAAATATCTACATGATGAAAAAAAAAAAAAAAGTTACATAGTGCTGTAGAAAAGGTTACAAATCAGATGCATGGAGAAGACGGTGCTTGTGACTTTAATGTTATTTGAGAGTGTCTTGTTTAACAGCACAAATCAGCTTACTTGCTCTAGTTAGATTGTGTGCAAATTAATGAGCAAATGTTTATTTTTGATTTATAATTTCACTATCAGGGTTAAGATTAAGGTTAGGGTTAGGATTAGGTTTTAGGAGCAGTTCATTTGGTTAAGTTTAGGGCTTTAGGACATGAAACAGTGCTAGTCCCGCCCAGAAACAAAATGCCAAAAAAGCCATTTATGGGCAAGGAAGGTGTTTTTCTGGCCATTTAAAAACTGATTTTTCAAAATAAAGGCGCTGTCATCTATTGTTTTAATGGTCTAATTATATATAATTATATTGTAATTTATTTCATATTGCTTAAAGAACACATTCCATTCTGTGAACAGATTTGTCTCTCCACAGGTTACATGTAACTTGGCCTTGTAACTGGCGTCATCTGCTTGTCACCATGGAGATAGACAAATTTAGTGCCATAACTCTAGAACATTCCAAAGCACGAAGATATGCACATGGCGAAACAACAACAACAACAACAACAACAACAACAACAAAACTTCTCCATTACTAGTAATGTTACATAGTGCCCTAGACCAAGTTGCAAATCAGATCTATGGAGAAGATTGTGCTTGTGACTTTAATGTTATTTGAGAGGGACTAATTTTAGTTTTGATTTATAATTTCACTATCGAGTTAAGATTAAGGTTAGGGTTAGGATTAGGTTTTAGGAGCCATTCGTTTGGTTAAATGTCGGGCTTTGGGACATGACAAAGCCCTAGTCCTGCCCTGTAACAAAATGCAGAACATTTAATTTTAGTTCATTATTACATTTATTACTTTTTTCTGGTTGCTTAAAGCCTGATTTTTCACAATAAAGGCACTGTCCTCTGTTGTTTTAATGGTCTAATTATATATAAATATATTGTAATTTATTTCATATTGCTTAAAGAACACATTCCATTCTGTGAGCAGATTCCTCTCTCCACAGGTTACATGTAACTTGGCTTTGTAACTGGCGTCATCTGCTTGTCACCATGGAGATAGACAAATTTAGTGCCGTAACAGCTCTATGGAGAAGACAGTGCTTGTGACTTTAATTTTATTTGAGAGGGACTTGTTTAACAGCACAAATCAGATCACTTGCTCTAGTCAGACTGTGTGCAAACAAAGCTCAAGTCTAATTTAAGTAACAGAGCTTCAGATGGAACAGCACTTCTAGTTAGCGTCACCCCCCCATGTTTTAATATCATTAGCTGCAAGGTATCAGTGAACCCCAGAGCTCCAAACCAACACAGCCTGCATTATTCCTAATCTCGTGTCTAATGAGTTACATGTTCAGCTAACAAATTCAGTAACATGACCAAAGTGGTGGAGAAAGTGCTCCGGCAGCAGCTCCCGCAGTGTGACCGGCTGACGTCAATGTATATCAACCCGGCAAGCACACATTTACATGGAACTGTGTGTGTGCGCGCGCTTGTGAGTGTGTGAGTGTGTGTGTGAGTGCGCGCGCGTGTGTGTATGTGTGTGCGTTCCAGGAAAAGGTCCGTGACGTCAGTGCTGCTGCTGCTATGCGCTGGTGAGTGGGCAGAGATCTCAAGCATTTCACAGAGAGAGAAAGAAAGGGAGGGGGGGATGGACGGACAGACAGAGAGGTGGAGAGAAAAAGAAAGAGAAAAAGAGAAAAAGAAGGGAGAGGGAGAGGGGAAAACGTGCAGAAATGATTTGATGAAAAGGTACCTGTTGCTGCTGCCAAGTGTGATATTGATTCAAACATGTGCCATAGCGAGTGTCAGTCATGGCTCTGAAATCAAGCTGTGTCTCCAAATAAAATCAAATGAGTTTCAGAAAGCCAAAAATATCAAAAATCAAACACTAATCGATACCAAAACTAGTATCAAGAGTATCTAGATACTCATTTGAGCAGGTATCAATACTAAAAAGTAATATTCACAGGACAGAAATGAACCTTTTGTGAATAGATTGAGAATGACCTTGAGCTGTATCAGAACAAGTATAAGTATAAAAGTACATAGACTAGTATACGCCCGGGATTACACAGATATAAAACCACATGGGAATAGAAAAGAAAGTACTACCATTTAATGCTGAAAATCACATTCTGTCGTCAGAAGAAAGAATCGGTTTTGATTATCGAGTATTCCTTAGTATTGAAATAGAGTTTTGTTTTTGTATCTTGGTAACATATTTGTGATTAAAGAATGGTTTTCATATACATTTTGTAATATTAACTAAAGCATCCCAAATGTATTTCTGGATTTTTCTGAAAAACTTCATGAAAACTACAAAAACTTCACTTTAAATTAAATATGAACATGATAAATAAATTAAAAAGTACACTATGTAACATTTCTTATGAAGTGCCCAGTATCTACTTGTCTCCATGGAGATATTATACTTTTGAAATGAAATTTGAAATGTCCCACAGTATAGCATTAAACGCTACATGCCAGCAAGCCAAGTTACAGGTCAGATCTGTGGAAAAGCAACCCCACTCCTAAAGTAAGACACATTGCAATTTTTTCACTGTAAGCTATAAAAACAAGAACTGTAATAGAATGTATGATAGATAAGTTTAATACCAAGCTGTGTAACATTCTAAGCAAAGCAGACCACCAGGCCAAGTTACAGGTCAGATCCGTGGAAAGGCAAGCCCACTCCTTAAGTAAGAATGCACGCTTTTTACAGAAAGCTACAAAAACATGAACTCTAATATGATAAATAAGTTTAACTCCAAACTGTGTAACATTCCAGGCAAAGAATTAACGTCACAGAGATAAGCAAACAATGGACCCCCCCCTCTCCTCCGCCCACACCAGAAAAGTTCCACAGAGCCGCTTCAGTGCAGTAATAAAGCCCGTACCTGTGTCAGTCTCGTCCCCAGTGACAGCCATGCTCCTGTGGTTACTACCCTGCGCTCTGGTCCCTGTGCTCTGTCTGTCTGAGCACCAGCACGGGGAGCAGCGCAGCTATGTGTGCAATTTACAATTAGAGCATTGACATCATGATGACATCACCAGGCTCTTGATGTCAACAGTGTGCCGGGCTCTGTCTCACTATGAGTCAGGCAGCCAGTGTTTGTCTTTGGGGGAGCTGCTAACTAGAAGCAAAGCTCAACACGGACACTTTTAGAGAGCAGGCTCAAGCAGACAGTTTGAAGAAGAGAGTGTGTCATTTTTGTCAAAGGGTTTGTTACTGCTTTGCCTCGAATGTTTCATAGTATGGCATTAAACTGATCTCTCAACAAGAAGATATACTGTACATACATGTTTTTCAATGTATAAAAACACAGAAGAAGTGAGAGCTTTAGGGTATCTTAGTTAAAAGTCCACAAGAGATGCTCCTCAAAGACTAGGCTCGAGGCATCTTACGAAAACACCGTGTGTGTCGAAATGCGCTGACTTGTCCCATGTAACCATTAACTACAAGTCTTTGACTGCAAGTCCGAGTCAAGTCCCACGTCAAATACAGGCAAGTACAAGTTGAGTCTTGAGTCACTGGCTCATAAGTCCAAATCAAGTCCAAATCATCTGCTTTGAGCTTCAAGTCATTTCAAGTCTTTAAACCAAAACACCAAATATAGTTTAGATTTTTGCAATTTATGACTTTTAAACTAAACTGTAGTTAAAAAGTCATGGTATATTTATATATGAGTATTAATATATTTATTTAGTGAATTTTTCCTTTTAAATTTTAAATTTAAAAGATCTTATTGTGAATCATCAGAATAAAAATAATTCAGATTTAAAAGTGCTTCTTAAGTCCTCTCAAGTCACAGGCCTCAAGTCCGAGTCAAGTCCCAAGTCACTGATCTTTAAGTCCAAGTCGAGTCCCAAATCTTAGTCCATTTTATCAAGTCAAGTCTCAAGTCCTAAAAATAATGACTCAAGTCTGATTTGAGTCCACGTCGCAACTTGCAAGTCCCCAACTCTGACGATACGATACATATCTCGATACAGTCCACTTTCGGTTCGATATATTTCAAATCGATTCAATACAGTTCAATAATAAATAAAGGCTAAATCATGTCTGTGATATTAAAAGTCTTTGTTAAACCACTTAATAAGAAACACAAACATTTTAATCATCAGAAACTGTGAAAATGTCAAATGTGTTACATAAATGAGTTTCCTTTCACTAAAAAAGCAAAAAAACAAAAACAGACTATAGCTCAGTAACAAAATAATTTACTAAAATATACCACAAATTCTCTTGGCAATATATCGATACAACAGTCCACAATATCGATACTCTATCATCACATTAAACGATACAATATATAGATATTTATAGATTTTGATATTTTTTTCACACCCCTACCGGACTTTTATTCAAATTTCAGTAAGTGCCTCAGACTTTTTAACCGCTTTTTATTTTATCACAGTAAGTTTTTACATTATAAGCTTGGTCATCTTCAACGTCTGTTATGTTTTTCAATGTATTTTAGAGCAATAAGACAGCTATAATCAAATGAATGATTAGTAATGCAATATTAATACTTTGATGCTTTCTGGAGGCTTTGCTGTCTGTAAAGCACTTTAATCTGTGCTTTATTTCTTTATTTTGACACAATCTGACCACAAAGAACTGACTCATTTGGAACTACAACAGATGAGCTGATTACTGTTAAAGAAGTGAACAGTTTTTCAGTTAGTCACTTTCACCTTTCTGTTGAAAATCACACAAAATTGTATTCTATTGATCACAGGCCCCTGAAAATGTGTTGTTTAAATCCATTTTGTATTTTTTCTTGAGTTTTCAGACTATATTAAAACTTTATCAGCGTGTACGTTGTGTTTCCTTGGTAAAAATGATAAGAGTAGAAAACCCCCAGCATGATGTCACCACAAATATCAGTAATCAATAATAAGAGTAACGGCATCTCCATGGAGACAAGCGCGTTGAAAACCCCCATCTAAGTTATAAAGGGGACTTTTAAAGGTCTACTGTACCATTTAAGGGAAATATTTAAAGGTTTAGACAAAAGGAGTCCTTCTTCAAATCGGGAAGGAATTTTTTCATGAATCCCATAGTTGTGTTTGGATCTAGCTAACATGCCACCATAAAAATATTTAAAACGGATTATATTGTAGGCCTATGAAGGTAATGAATCTTTAATATGATCATCTCTATCATATTAACATGCCAAGTAGAAGTATGGCTCCCTCTACTGATGACAAAAAGTAATATGTATTTTACAAGAGCTTTCAGGTTAAGGTACACACTATGTAACTTTTTTTTTTTAAGTTTTATTGCCATTGTCAGTGAACAAAATTACCAACTAGCCAGCGCCTCTATTTTTTAAGACAGCTTAGGTTACACGAAGTGGATACAAATGTAATGCTGATGTCTTACAGAGCATATATGGAATCAATTTTATGTTATGGCATGTCAACATGGTTTAGTAACCTGCCAGTCAAACTTAAATCACAGATTTTTACCATGACTAAAAGAGTGGGTAAAATAACGGGTGTGGCCACTAGCTCACTTCAGCAAATTTTTGAGGAGACTGTTAGGAAGCTTGGCAGGAAGGTGCCAGTGTCCCAACCCATGTTCTTCACAATCAGTTTGAGTTGATGTCATCAGGCAGAAGGTTCAGGGTCCCTAACTGTAAACTGAACAGATTCAAATATTCTTTTGTGCCATTAGTCATTAATCTGCTAAACTCAGATAGTGCAGTTAAAAAATAAAAGTAAAAGGCTTAGAGAATGTGCAATCAAAACGGCACATAGGTCAAGGGAATGTGCAATCAAAACTGCACACAGGTCAAGGGAATGTGCAATCAAAACTGCACATAGGCTTAGGAAGTGTGCAATCAAAACGGCACATAGGCTCAAGGAGTGTACATTTATTAATAGAATACAAGATTACAAAGGGCTTGCCTGTAAAGAATGACTTAAAGGTCCTGTTGGTGCATCGCTCGTGGTCTTGTATCTATTTCTGTTCTATGGTGGTGTTTGTGTCGTGCTTTGTGTTGTGTTGTCCTGTCTTTGTGATAAAGCATGTGACCCCTGTCCCATGACAAATTTCTCGCATGGGAGACAATAAAGGATTATCTTATCTTATCTCATCTTATCTTATCATAACTAGGAACTTGCTTTGGCGGTGAGGTGCAACATAAAACAATGAATAATAAATAATAGTAATAGATATGATAAAATGTAAAGAAAATACAAAAATGGCAATAGCATTGGAAAGTTTCACAATATGGTTTCTATATACTATATTATTTCAATGACAGATGCTTTATTGTTACAAAATAATACAAAATTGAAACATACAGGGGTCACTCTCTCTCTCCACAGACCTGACCTGTAACTTAGCCTGGAGGTGTCACTTGCTTTTCTCCAAGTTTAAAACTGTGAAACATTCCAGGCACGTTTACTATGAACACACAGTCATTTAGCCTTACCTTGTCTATTTCTAGGATTAGGCTGTGGTTGGATGGGGGTTACCGTAGCGACGAGACCATTATTCTGCATCCCACTGTGAAGGAAGAGAACATATTCTGGGCTAGTCGCACCTGAAACACATGAAACAAGATACCGTTTTGTAAAGACCACAGAGCAAACTAAGGAAGCATAACCTCACCCACAACATTCGGCTCCAGTCAAACGAAGCTCACCTAGGCTGGCAGGTATAGGGACAAATTTGGAGCGAAATAAAAATGCTAGGATCACGTAGAGCGGGTTAATATGAACATTTTAAGACCAAAATGACGAGGCTCACTGTAGCAGTTACAAAGAGAGGGGGCGACCATTTTTTTATGTAAAGTCAATTGGAGCCAGAATTGATGGAACCGGAAGTGCTCCTCATGCTCATTTCCTATTTGGAACGCGGCAACTACAGGGTTAGCTATGTCAATTTATGTATACAGAGATTTATTCATATGACATTACAGCATTATAGAATCCTCCTAGTTTAAAATGAAGGTCAGTTCTAAGAAATTCTAAGAAAAAAAATTGGAGCTGTATCAGATCAGATTTTTTTTACATGTATTTGAGTAAATTTTGTCTTGACTCAGTACAGATATATTGTATAAGCAGCTCTTGAGGTCAAAATATATAATGCTGCAGGCTGTCTGCATCGAATTAGAAAGTTTTCTTGTCCAATAATCAAAACTCTGCTCCTGAGAGTTGTGAAAAGAGTTTCTAATCTCATTGTGGTCAATGACTAGAATGGTTGGAATGCAGAAGGTAAGTGAGGAATGACTTTGGACCACTGCAAACAGTTTAAAATGAGTTCTGTTTCTCACATTTTTAAGAGTAAAAATCTGGTTTTGTTGACTTGAATGACTGGGCCTGCATCTTACATCTTTCGAATGGGAAAAAGTCCTCAAAATGTTGCATAAGAAGTCGAATGCGACTGATTTAGATCATACATACCTGCTCCAATTCTGTACGAATGGCACTGGTGCTGGTACAGCACAAGGGGTCTATACATGCCTGTATCTCTGCCAGGTATTTTCATAGGTGGCAGGGCTGACACTTGAAAAAACAAACAAAACGTGTGTCATTTTTAGGCAAGGCAAGACAAGTTTATTTGTATAACACAATTCTTACACAAAGTAATTCAAAGTGCTTTACAGAATAAGAAATACGTTAAAATCACAATACAAACAAATAAAAACATAAATAATGATCATAAAATTAAAAAAGAGAAATGTTGCTGTTACCATAACAACATAAAAGCAGTAGTGGAATGTAACAAAGTAAAAGTAGTAAAGTAAAGTGCTTAAGTAAACATTTTAGATATCTCTACTTTACTTAATTACATTTTAAAGTGGACACTTTTAACTTTTCCTTCTCTACATTTTACTTTACTTTTGCATTTACTTCCCTACACTGTACTTGTACTTGTACTTGAAATTGTACTGTGCTGTACTGTGTGAGATCTGCTGAAAACCCTAAAAATTTTTTGAATCAAAGTCATAGTTTGAGAAAAGAAAACATACAAATAAAAACAAGACAAAAAAAATCAGCTGAAATCTGTATAAAAATCATTAGATTTGAAGCTTTATTAGATCTCATACTCTATGCAAAATTATTTTACTTTTTACAGTACAGTACAGTACAGTACAGTTCAGTACATTTTAAACAGGTACTTTAATGCTTAAGACTTTAAGACTTTTACTTTTACTTGAGTATTTTTTGCTATCTGTACTTTTACTTAAGTGACAAAATTGAGTACTTTTTCCACCACTGCATAAAACTTTGCAGTGACATCATACTGAAGGAGGGGTAGTACTGCATGTTTCTCTATGGAGGAATGTTCAACAGTTATCATAGTGACACAAAGCACAAATGAGCAAACACAGCCTGATAAGTTTGACTAAAGAATACAAAATTGATTTAAACAGCACATTTTAGGAACATATGATTAGTCCTACTGTCCTGTTTAGATGTTAGATGTCCTGTTTAGTGAAAGTAAATACCTGAAAAACTGTTGGCTAATGCTAGCTAGCTTGTGACTGTAATGTTATTTTATTTTTTAAATGCAAAAATGAGCTGTCCTATTGTAGCTCCTGTTAAGCCAGTTCTGATCAGATTGTGTTAAAATAAAGCTCTAACTTGAGTAACAGAGCTTCAGACAGAGCAGTCCCTTCAGTTAGCTTCACACTCCAAAATAAATATTGATGACATTAGCTGCAAAGTATTAACAGGCCACTTGTTTATATTTTTGGCTACTTACTGTATTGACTGTATTGTGACACATAATGAAGAATCTGGGGTGGAAAAATGGGAGTAACTGGTGGAGTCTGATGTTCACTCTTTATGGTAACATTAGAGTCCATTCTGTAAAACACATCATAAGATTAGTGTGCAGTCCATTTATGTGCATTACAAAAATATCTTTGTTATAGATACAAATAATAAGTTGCACTATGTTCATTTTCTGTAGGAGGTCTACCATCCATTTGTCTCCATGGAGATGTTCTTGCTCTAATTGTAATCCACAGTAAACCAGGGGTGTCCAAACTGATTTCACTGAGAACCACGTATGGAAGCATTCATACTCAATACAGCTCCATACAGCTCCATACAGCTCAATACAACTAGTCTTTCAGATAGATGCATTTTACGTGAACAGATAAAGCCAGCATAGCTTTAATAAGGCTTGGAAGTGAAATTTTAGGTCTGAATCATAATACAATGATGTCAGTGCGGTAACAGTGGTAGAATCGCTTAAAATTGCAGTATGATCAATTGGGCCATTTCAGCGGGAGAAGCATAGTAGACACCCCTGGCATAAACACTTTCTCTTGCATTATAAATTAGCCTGCTGGCTTGCTTGAATCTGACATAGCAAGCCCTAACTAACTCCATGTTATGACAAGAAGGAAGCAGACACTCCAGCAAAAGGTTTGCACACCATTCATTTTATAGTGATTATAAAGTGATTTCATACTTCATCTTCTCTGTTGGTTATGCAGGCCTATGAATATAACACATTTTATGAGTTTTACCAACCTTTTAAACTGTCCAAAACAGAAATCATACAAAATGTTCATAGCAACACATGGCAAAACGTAAGAAGGCATTTTGCATAAAATAAACAAATAAATAAATAAAAATAACACACGCAAAACAACCACACAACACAGTCCATTCAAACAACAACGCAGAAGGTAGTGTCCTATACTGACAAGCCTCATACAGCATGTGTTTAAATAGAATAAGAATAAGAATAATTTGTTTTAAATTGCAATTTACCGGCCTTACAACTTCTTACTATTTTTATAGAGACCTAAAGACCTACAAAATATGACTTCAACTGATCATCCTATTCATGTAGGAGGTATATTAATCATAATTAATAATAATTGCTTGTCTCTTATGCAATCATTAGCATTCCACCAGCTAGGTTACGTCAGTTTGTTAGACTTGTTCACATTAACACGATCTCTTATTTTTTTCACTACTGACTGGAATGAAAGTACCTGTGCTGTGTAACTCACCTCTAACTTGTAGATACGACTTGAAAAATATTTTCCAACAATATATATATATATATATATATATATATATATATATATATATATAAACTCAACAGCAAATCAGCGTTAAGTGTTAGAATAACTTTTTGCAGATGAACAAAAATACTAACTTAGTCGAAAATTTCCATGGTTCCAACGGCTGATAGCTTTAGCATGGTAATTTTCTTTATATATGTATTTCTCATGTAATTAGACTATTAAGATTATATAAAGAAATAAACATCGGTACAACAACAAAAAAGAAAAAGATATATTTAAAAATAAAATTAAAGAAAATAAAAAGATAACTAACTGGCCTCCGTAGTTTCGACCATACCATTTTGTATTAACAGGGGTCAATATAATTTTTTACTTTTTTATCCACCTTTTTAAAACATTACTATTATTTCCACACGTGATTTATTATTTGTAATTCCAAACGTGTAAATATATGACTTCATCGTGTAGCTTACGTCTTTTGCTAACACGATTACGCGGAACATAATGGTAGGTTCCAAAGACAGGACAGAGCCGTGAGACAAATCAAGCCTGTGACAGCGGACAAACTAGACTTTTATTACAACTCTATTCCACACCAAGGTACGTGGCTCCCAAATGCACACGACCGGCCCGAATGACAGCTCGGGTTCGGACTGCAGCATCACGCCCTCTGTTGTTGTCATCGCCTCTGATCAAACTGCACAGAAGATGATCATTTGCTGAGCTATCGTTAGCCGTCACACAGTTAGCCGCTAGCAGATGCCGGAAAACCAATGCAAAAGAATAGGGAAACCTGTTAGCATGCTACCCCGCTTAGCCCATTAGCCACACAGCCTATTTTGGGACTGGCATTCCGCTAGCTGATAACTTTGCAGGTTTATATTGTTACAGTAGAAGCTATGTTGGAGCTATTACATGGTAGCACCGGTTGCTGCTATAGTAAACATGTTGGGTATTGTGTATTGTAGTAACAAATCCAGATATTAGTACAATGAGTGTTGCAATACTTTCTCTGACGTGAAATCAGCTGCTAGAAGTCAGGCCCAATTTCTGATGAGGAAGATCCTTTAATCGGTGTGATGCTATTGTATACTACCACAAGGTTGAGCGAATGTCACTATATAATGTCATAGATTTGATGTCTGAGTCCTGTCTTAAACATATTTGTGAAAGCACTAGATGTTCCAGATTTAATCAAAGTGCCCCAATCATTGTAGTTGTAAGAAATTATTTAGTTGTTATAAATTTGTTTAAATTCATTAATGTAATGTTATTTTAGAAATATTGAATATATGGCCTGTGCACTATTAATATTTTTAGGCATATTGCTGTTAATGTAAACACTACATCATCACCATCATTATCATTTTGATTAAAGTTCTTTTAGATGTTGAACTTTGGCAAATAAAACATTTTAAATGGTATTATTTGCTTGTCTGTATTTGTTACCAAACCTGTATTTGAATTTGTTTGTTTTTCTTTAGGTGTGAGGGCAAATTGGACGATGTCCCTAAAGCCACGGGTGGTGGATTTTGATGAGACATGGAACAAGCTTCTAACGACAATCAAGGCTGTGGTGATGCTCGACTACGTGGAGAGAGCCACATGGAATGACAGATTCTCGTATCCTTTATGCTACTGCTGGGCCTATGTTCCTGTATGTTACTTTAATAAGATGTCTTGCGGTTTGTTTTCACAGCACTATGAAAAGTAACCTCATGTATAACAATATTTATTCTTAACCTGACTCCCAGTGACATTTATGCCTTATGTGTTGCATACCCAGAGCCCCTGGGTGAAAGATTATACACAGAGACCAAGGTCTTTCTTGAAAACCATGTCCGACAGTTATACAAGGTAACATCACTGCGAGGATATGCCACAGTACAGTGTGAGACTTCTGCTTTAATGAAGTGTTTGTACTGTACCTTTAGAAAGTCCTGGAGTCAGAAGAGAAGGTTTTGGTCATGTACCACAGATACTGGGAGGAGTACAGCAAAGGAGCCGACTACATGGACTGTTTATACAGGTGACCAATATATGTTTTTTTTAGTTTTTTTTTTCTGAAAGTAGCTTGTTGCTTTATAGTTATAGTATTGTACTATATGGTTAATGGATACATCATTCTTGGTTCACTGGGTACAGGATAACATTTACACGTATTTGCTGTTAAGAAAAGGTTTGAAATGCCAACAGACACTCCCCGATTTACTCCAAATCAATGGGCTCTGGGAGAGAACTTCTATTTTTACGCTGCTGTCTCTCTCTGTATAAATCTCCTTCTGTAATTTACAATGTCAGTATCCCTGACAGATCCAGACGAAAGCTCTTAGCTTAGTGGCATTGTCTAGCTTGTTTCTTGATATAGATCAAATATAAAGGATGTGTTGACAGAGCTCTCTGCCAAAATAGGTTGTCGTTCTTTTTTATTATTTGACCATGTTGTAAATATGAAAAGTTACCTATACAAAGGAAGTGCGTCATTTATAGTCCAAAGGATTTTGAAAATTTGAAATTTGAAAATTCAAATGACTTATAAAGGAATACCCCCATCAGGCAAACAGTGACTCCTGGTTTTGTAGGATTTTTGGTTGCCTGGAAACTTCAAGTCATCATTACCCTCCCTCACAGTATAAGTTGTGAAATGTCTACTTTTTTTTATATATATACAGGTATCTCAACACTCAGTTTATAAAGAAGAACAAACTAACAGAAGCAGACATACAGTACGGTTATGGTGGAGTGGACATGAATGAACCACTTATGGAGATTGGAGAGGTAACCATGACAACATACATTTAAAAGCTAAAAATGTGCCATACTTTATACTTATGCTTTTGTTTTGTTTTTTATAGTTGGCGCTTGATATGTGGAGGAAGCTAATGATCGAGCCCCTTCAAGCCGTCCTCATCCGGATGTTACTGAATGAAATCAAAAAGTATTGTTTTGTCTTAATACTGCTTTCCAGCTTACTTTAGCCTATACTTTAGCTTAAATCCTAAAATAATATTTTGTTGCTTAGTGATCGTTGTGGTGAGAATCCCAACCAAAAGGTAATCCATGGTGTCATCAACTCCTTTGTTCATGTTGAACAGTACAAAAAGAAATTTCCACTAAAGGTAAGCCCAAATGATTAGATTTATAGCCACGTATATAAAGATTATGATCTGTTCGTGCTATATTTGGTGTCTCTTTTTGTTGCAGTTTTACCAGGAAATTTTTGAGGGGCCATTTCTGATAAAAACAGGAGAGTATTACAAACAGGAAGCTTCAAATCTGCTACAAGAATCTAACTGTTCACAGTATATGGAGAAGGTCAGTAGAATGCTTGTAAAGAATATGTAAATAACACAAGACATTTTGTATTTGTAGGTCATACGTGTTTAGTGACATATGTAAGAGTTTAAATATTGTCCACTAATTGCTGCTTTCACGACACAATAATGATTTTACATGATCATGGTTTCACTTCACTATTAACTCTCTCAAAGTTCTAGTGTAGTCTATATAGACTTGCTTTCTTTTCCTTTCTTTTGCTCCCTATGACCACTCACTGGTCTGGTCTTTTGGCTTTCACATATTTTTCCCCAAAACGATGAAATGCATCATAACTTCAACAGTGTCACTTGGCCATTTTGGTTTTAAGCACATCCCACTGCATTGGTTCAGGAGCCTGGTATTTTGTTGTGATGGCGTTTGAGGTGACGTAGTGCCATTTTTAACAGGAAGTCACTGGACCCATTTCTATTATTAGAGTTTCTATATTACGCAAAATTGACTCCTGTGAGATTTAAGCCATATTACCTCATCACAAACATACCTGGAGCTGTATTTTGTTTCGATTACATATGTTTGAGCAATCCTCTATTAGTCTGTCTATAGCTCCCAATCTCAAAATGCTCTGTTCCACCTTTTGTCATGAACTGGTAGTTTTCCTGTTAACGGCTACCTTTTACCTTTAGTTCAGTAAACATTGGAAACTCCAGACCGGAAATTATCCAAATGATTCACAGTGGAGCACTTCCTGTATTACCAAGTAGCAGAGTGTTTTCTGTTTGAAAGAAGAGCACTACATATAGAGAGTTCGTGTAAGACGTGCAAATTAAATAAAACTCAACTTCGGTTATGTTTGTGATGAGGAAACATTGTAACATAGAAAAGTATTATAGGTCCTTAAAGACGTTTTAGTTCAATAGTCTATGTGTGTTACAGATTAACACTAAATAGCAGTAATAAATCTCTTCTTTGAGCTCTAAAAAGATTATTATTTTGTTGTTCTGTGCAGGTTTTGGCCCGGTTGAAAGACGAGGAGGTGAGATGTCGAAAGTACTTGCACCCTAGCTCTTATGCCAAAGTCATCCATGAATGCCAGCAGAGGATGGTGGCTGATCACCTGCAGTTTCTCCACGGAGAGTGCCAGAGCATTATCAGACAGGAGAAGAGAGACGGTAAGCAGTCTTCTGGATCTCCTGCTTATAAATACATGGTGGTCTGGTTACTGGTTTGGTGACACTGGGTACATGTACACAGACAGTAAAAATCAGATAACTAGAGCAGGGTGACCAGACGTCCCTATTTACCCAGGACAGTCCCAGTTTTGAGCTTTGTGTCCTCTGTCTCAGCAGAGTTATACAAAACCAGTGATTTGTCCCAGTTTTATACAATGTACATGTTCCAGATGTCCTTATTTTTGACTAATTTCATACCCACCAACAGTAATATTGCCATTTGTTTAGCTAAAATACAGAAAACTGTGCTTGAAAATGACCATAAGGTAAAAATTGCACTCTGTTACACTGATGAAAGTCCTTCAGATTATAAGATATACTGACCCACAACAAGTGAATTGAGAATCTTTTCACAATTTTACTGTATTTATAGCAAACTATCCCAACCATGTGTGTGCCAATTTAGAATTTTGAAAATCTGGTCACCCTAAACTAAAAGTAATTAGATAACACAATAATTAGATAAAATTTTTGGTTTTTGAGTTTACATGCAAAAAAGAAATCTGATCTTTTAAATTCACACATCTGGACATGTGTCTGTACCAGATTTTTATGTTCTTAAAAAACGTGAATGTTATAAGGCGCACTGTTATTGAATGGTCTATTTTCAAACCTTTTCACATATAAACCGCACTGGACTATAAGGCACATTTAACGAAACACAACAGTTAGATGGCTCAGTCGGACTTTGTTTGGCACATTCACGGTGACTCTGGGCTTTGTTCAGTTGTAGCGTGTAGGGAGAGTGCTGTCTGGGACCGCTGGACTGTTGGCGTGGAGTGATGAGTGTGGCTGCGGGTGGTGCGGCTTTGTAGTTTACTGAAGTCATGCTGGGACACCCTAGTGGATTCATGTATCAGGCGCTCTGGATTGTGGGGCACGTAGTCATTTTTTGGGGGGTTGGAGGCTTATGAGTGCACCCTATAGTGCGGAAAATATGGTAGTTTATAAGCACTTTTCACAGCTCTAAAAGACCAGAGCGTAGTTTTGCCATCAGTGTAAAACTAATATAAAATTAACGTGCTGACCACACACATCCTTCTCTGACAATAAAATGCTCTGTAATTACTGTAGATGCAGATGGTACTTATTTTGACCTAAAGAGCTACTCATCTGTACTGGGGCAAGACAAACTTTGCTCAAATATGTGGAACAAAATCAGATACAAGGGCCCTTAATAGTGGGATTTTTGGAGTTTATTTAGAAGATAAAGTAACAAAGAATTTAAGTTAATATTTTCAGTCCTAAAAATGTCTTTTTCATTTTTGTCTTGAAACCTCTAGTTTGCCATTTTTGCTTACTTTTACTTGTTACAACCTGCACTGGTGTGAATAATCAGAAAGAAATCTGATTACTCACATTAGATATAACGGGGCACTTTTATATGGTCAGTACAAATTAGATAACTAGATCAGATTTTTGGTGTGTGTTTACATTCCCTAAATAAATCTAAACACCAAGAACACTGTATTTGGAAGTACAATGAATTTTAAAGGGTTCATATCAGGCTATTTTCTGATCTATGTTATGTTATTTCCTCATTAGAAACAGACCTGGAGTTGTGTCTTGTTTCATTCACACATGTTTAACATGCACATCCTGCATATTTAGGCTGAGTTCTTCCCTCAAACTTAAAACAGGTGGTTCCACCTTATGATGTCATGCTGTAATACAGGAAGTGCTCCAATGTGCTTTTAAACTCCATACACCTTCACTAGAATCATTTGGACAATTTCAGCTCTGGAATTGACTATCTCTACTGAATTAGAGGTAAAAGGAGCTGTTAACTTGAAAACTACAACTACATGACATCACAAGGTAGAACATTTTGATATTTGAGGGTGCAGAGAGCCAAACAATCCAGGATTAGTCAGACATGTGTGAATGAAATAAAACACAACTCGAGGAATGTTTTTGAGGAGGTAACAGCATCATAACATGGCTAAAAGCTCACTAATCCATTCTGCATAATATGGGACCTTTTAATCTGTTTCTCTTAAATTTGTGTCACTCTTTGTAACTCTTTGACACATTAATTTGCCCTTTTAGCACAAGTTTCCATGTCAAAACCAGGTGTCAACAATCTAAAAGAAATCAGACTACTCACACCAGTATTTTAATAATCAGATAATGATGAGATTTCGGTTGTGCATGTAAACCTATTTCTTTTATCCTGTGTTGCAGACATGGCGAACATGTACACTTTGCTGCGCGCCGTGTCAAACGGACTGCCTCACATGATCCAGGAGCTGCAGGTGCACATCCACAATGAAGGTCCTGCGGGGCACCAGTAACCTCTCTCAGGAAAACGTTAGTATGGCTATCCGATTTCTGCTTTTGTCGAGACCCTTTTGCAGGTGCTGTGGATTCAAATGGAAATCGAATGGTTCAGTTGATTTTGCTGCTGAAGTTAGCTTCACACCCCCAGGGAATTTTGTTAACTCAAAGCACTACTCTGTTAGACGCTTTGGTACTCAAGTTAGACATAATTTGAGCTTTGTTTTAACACAATCTGAGCAGAAAGAAACAAGGCTGAAGATGAAAAGAACATGCTCCTGAAAATTTGTTGTTTAAATCCATTCTGTATTTTTTCTTAAATTTTCAGACTAAATACCTCTTGCCTGTGTTTACTAATGTGTGCATTGTGTCACCCGTAGTGTGATTTCACTGCATAGAATCAATGTAGTATGTGAGTAAGTGAAAGGACATGCACATCCATCGTAAAACTTTAAAAATGATAACAAGTGTGCAAGATCCGAGCAGGCATTACTACATTTGAAAAGAAGAAATTGGTTCAATAATAGCTGAGATAAAAATAGCTGCAGAGAGGACTGTGCATTGATAAAATTTTAATTGATATCGACATTCAGTCATTTCTAATTGCCAGTGATATTTTCTGGTCTATGTTCTAATGTTGTTTCCTCATCACAAACGGACCTGGAGTTGTGTTTGGTTCATTCACACATTTAACACACAAACCCTGCAGATTTAGGCTGCGTTCTTCTCTCAAACAGAAAACATGCTGTTCTACCTTGTGATGTCATGTGAAAATACAATAAGTGTTTGTGTTTTTAAACTCCGCATATCTTCACTTGAATCATTTGGATAATTTCAGCCCTGAATTGCCAGTTTTTACTGTAGAAAAGGTAGCTGTTATAGTGGAAACAACTTGAAAACAGAACATTTTGAGCTTTGTAGATTTAGACGTGTGAATGAAACAAAAAACAATACACGTAACAACATTATAACGTGGCTTAAAGCTGACAAGAGTCAATTTAGCATAATATAGGACCTTCATTTGTCTTCTTATGTTGCCCAGCTGCGCCTGTAAATCATAAAAAATTACAAGGAAGATATTCAAATAGTTTCTGACCAGTGTGAAAAGGCCCTTTAAGGCTCCTTTCTGTGCGAAGGCAAATTGATTGTTACACTTAAGTTAATGAATGTGTAAGTGAATGATGCTGTCAGAGTGATAAAGCCAGCAATTATCTGGCCATTATCCAAGCTCTATACTGTCAGGCTTAAATCAGCGGGTTTGGCTCTGGCTCCTTTTAGACTTTCTCCACATAACTTTGCAGCTGAGTGCAGTCGAAAAAATCGCAAAGGCTGCAGTTATTTAAGAGCGATTCATCTGTAAAGAAATTTCATCACAGGGTTTTTTTTCTGACGAGCATTGCAGTTGCATTTACATTTCCAATTTGTGTAATAATTGGATTCTGTTCAAAGTTCATGTTTCAATTGCGTCCAGAAGAACTGAGAAAACGACTGAAATATTAACTAACTAATACAAAAATCACATTTCAGAACATGTGTACCAATTTAAACTACACGGTTAGCAGTTTTAAAGAAGAAGAAGGCAGGAGATTTTGTTTGTGGACAAAATTAGGGCGCTTCAACAATTGTGACCTTTGCGATTTACTACATGTGTTGATTTAAAGTGTGATTGTTATTAAACTAGTGGCCTTACTCCATGAGGTCTGATTATGTATTATAGAACCTGCTTATCTTGTACTTGAAGTCTCTATAAATGAGGATTGTTAACCCTTTACTGTCCTGCTAATTTTGCTCTTTTTCCCAATGTTCCAGATGCCGACACAGTTCGTGGAGTCCGTGCTTGAAGTCCACAGTAAATTTGTCCAGCTTATAAACACCGTACTGAATGGGGACCAACACTTCATGAGTGCACTTGATAAGGTAAAGTCCCCTACACTCCTTCCTAGTGCTCTTCAGTCTGTCTCTAGATCAGTGGTTCTCAAACTTTGTCTTGAGTAGGGATGTAGCGATGTATCAGCTTCAGTATCTGTAACGGGCAATATCAATACAGATTTTTCTATTGTAGTAATGAGTCGAAATGGATATATGGCTTTATGTAACAAACAATTTTATATCCCAGTACAATACATAAAAGTTCATTTGTGATGGTTTCCTCTAGGGCTGGGTATCATTAAGAAGTTGCCGATACAAGACATACTTTGATACAGTGCACTTTCGATACAATATATTTCAAATCGATTTGATACGTTTCAATAAAAAATTGTGTCTAAATCAAGGCTGTGACACTAAAAGTCTTAGTTAAACTACTTCTTGTGCAAAGTTAATATAAAACACAACCATTTTAATCATCAGAACAGTGAAAATGTCAAATGTGTTGCATAACACATGCAACAAAACTGTAGCGCTGTAACAAAATAGTTGAGTAAAATATACCAAAAAGTACTCTTGACGATATATTGATACTGTATCATCACATTAAGCGAAACGATATATCAATATTTGAATATTTTTGCACACTCCTATTTTCTTCAAGTTAATAAGGCTGGGATGAGATACGATTTTCATGACACACCTTAAGATTGGGTCCATGAGAACGAGACAAGAGGAGCGTTGTACATAATTTGTAATAAATAGGTAGTATTTTTATATATTTTATGTTATTTTAGTACTGCTTTTTGCAACTACAGCTTCTCAAATGATATAACTCACCAGCTCTTAACTAAGATAAATTCAGGTGAGAAATAATCTCACAAGATAATTTTTCTCATGTGTCTTGTGGCAATTTTGTCTCACATTCCTAAACATTTTGGGCCTTACTAAAGATGCTAAAACATACATATTGGTATCTGCCAATATTGGTTATCAGTCACAGGAGAAGGACAAATATGGGACATCAGTATTGGTGCAAAAAAATCCATCATACCTAGTCTCGAGTACCCCTAAGCTTTGTCTCCCCCTAACCTGTGATTTTTTAAAATGGGCAAATACATCTCTTTACAAGTATATTATTATAACTATTATATATTTTTTGTTTTAATGCTATTTATGCCCAACATGATCTTACAAAACATTCTCAAGGAAGTAAAGAAAATAGTTTTGATACCTTGCAGCTGATGTCATTAACATTCCCTGGGTGTGTGACGCCAATGATAGGCTTTACTCTGTCACAAGCTCTGTTACACTTTAATCTGAGCTTAATTTTAATACAATCCGACCATAAAAAGATGACTTAGTTGGAACTGCAACAGGTGAGCTGATTTATGCTGTTGAAGAAGTCTCTCGCGCGTAAATTTACAGTTACAAAATAGCTCACATTAGCCAACAGTTTTTCAGTCAGTCACTCTCACCTTTTTGTTGAAAATCAAACTCCTAAACAAGACCATGAACTCGTACTGATTACAGAGTCCTGAAACTGTGTCGTTTAAATCCATTTTGTATTTTTTGTAACTGAAAAACTGTTTTAAGAGCAAAAATCATCTCACCTGTTGTAGTTCCAGCTAAATCAGTTCTCAGATTAAAGTTTAATTTCAGTGGCAGAGCTTCAGATGGAGCACACCCCCATTGAATGTTGACATCAGCTGCAAAGTATCAATAGTCAAATACAAACCAGTTCCATCTTCTACTAAAATCTGGTATTCTTCCAAGAATTCCCTGGTTAGTGTTTGCATTCTTTCACTAGTCCTTGTACCCCTAATTGGGAACCACTACTCTAGATGACTTCCTTTTATTACCTCCGCCAAGGAGGTTACGTTTTTGCCGGCGTTTGTCTGTTTGTTTGTTTGTTTGTTTGTTTGCCTGTTAGCAACATAACTCAAAAAGTTATGGACCGATTTTGATGAAATGTGAAAAGGAAGAACTGATTTCATTTTGGGGGTGATCCGGAAGAAATCCTGGTTTCTGGATCACTTTGAAATTTTAGTTAACATTGTGGTAAATGGGGCCAAAAATTTTGTTTCTCAATATCTCGGTTAATTATTGACCAAACCCCATGAAATTTGACTCAGTGATGGACAATGGGATCCTCTTTCATATTCCAAAGGCTGATCCGGATCTGATCCAGAAGACTGATTTTATCGCAATTTATATAAAAAATGGGGGTAGTCCTTGGCAGAGGTCTGCGCTCTCTGAGTGCTTTTCTAGTTTTATTTATTAGTTTATTTGAAGGTCATTTTGGATTTCAAGGGCGCATTAAGTAACTTCTGTTGTAGAGGTTAGGCCACCTTCTTGTCCGGATGGAAGTGTCTTTGCCTGAAATGTTCCTTAGTATAGTATTAAACTTATCGAGCTTGCATTTATTCAACAAATTGTGTTTTAATTGCTTAAATATACCTTGAAAATCACGGATTCTTACTGTGAGTCAAGTCACCTTTCCACAGATCTGACTCATAAATTGGCCTGGTGCCATCACCTGCATGTCTCAATGGATAGTTAAATGCCATACTGTCAAACATTCCCTCCAAAGCAATTGCATTTCCGTAGAGACAAACAGGTGCCTGAACCTATACTAGAAAAGTTACGTAGTGAACCTTTAATAAACACATTTATTTGTTTAGGCCCTGACATCAGTGGTCAATTACAGGGAGCCCAAGTCTATCTGCAAAGCCCCAGAGTTGGTGAGTACACACACACAATGTGCATACAAAGTACTTGTGAGTACTTTTATTATCTCTGTGTCCTCCTGACCCATATCCCTGCCCCCACTATGTCCAGCTTGCGAAATACTGCGACAATCTGCTGAAGAAGTCGGCCAAAGGGATGACGGAGAATGAGGTGGAGGACAAACTCACCAGCTTCATCACCGTCTTCAAGTACATCGACGACAAAGATATTTTTCAAAAGGTGATCTCAAGATTACACTACGGCCACAATTAGGCTTGTGCTCAGTCTGGAGTTCCATTCGGTTTGTTCATGTTCTAGTCCAGGTTTATTTCTGGGTTTAGTCCCAATTTTATAAATAGTCGTGAAATATGTGCTGGGCCTTGTTTAGTGATATCAAAACCGAAACATAAAACAGAAGATGTGAGTCTGTTTCACAGCTGAATCTCCTTGAGTGATGGGGGTGATTGATGGGTGGATTAGCAAATCAGGGACACGCATGATCTGTCATTATCAAACAAATATGGTTACTTAAGAGGAAAAGAGAAATGCAAACCATATCACAGGGGACTGGAAAACACCACACAGTTCTGTAGAATCAAAGAGCGAAAGTAAACAGAGAATGAGCTCCTTTGTTTCACATGCGTCACTGAAATAAATAAATCTGATTGGACAGTCATGTTTGGTTCTAGCTCAGGACATGATTGAGGGTATGGGGATCAAACTAATCTCAATCTGTATAAAACTATGGGGAGAGATCATTCTGGACTTTCCATGCATAATGCACATCTAAAACTGATTTTGGGTTTTGAAGTTGGTACTTTATTGTGAAACTATGGATTAGGCTCAAAACTCGATACCAATTTTGATACCACAATGATAAATACATAAAAAAAAGAAAAACAACTTTTTATAGTATACATTGTATTAATCACCTTTTCCACCCATTTTCGATTCCTTGTAGTTTTACGCCAGAATGCTTGCAAAGAGATTAATACACGGTTTATCATTGTCTATGGACTCTGAAGAAGCCATGATCAACAAACTAAAGGTATGTTCTCCACGTTTATTTAAGTCCACATTTCCACCTCTGTATCTATGACTATGACTAAATATTTGTTGTGTTTTTTTCCTGTCTCTTGTAGCAAGCGTGTGGCTATGAGTTCACGAGCAAACTGCACAGAATGTACACAGACATGAGCGTGAGCGCGGACCTCAACAACAAGTTTAACAATTTCATTAAGACGCAAGACACAGTGGTGGACCTGGGCATCAGCTTCCAGATTTATGTATTACAGGTACAATTATACAATTAATGTATAATTGGTTTAGCTTATGTCTAGAAATCTGCAGCCAATCATCTGTTACTGTATTAAAAGTTGATATGTTGACCACATTTGCGGTAACTTTTGGCAGTGTTGGTAGTTTCTGGGTATTGACAGATACTCAAAATTAGCACTAGTATCAGGACTGAAAAAGTTACCAGGAAGAACCCTCACACCTCATCTGTTACCATATGAACCAGTTACAGCCGCAAACGACAATGAAGGGCCTTGACCCCACCGTACCTGTTGTACATCCAAATACAGGAAATTCTGTGTCTAGACTTAAAGGTTCATTGTGTAACTTTGTGTAACTGGTGGAAGGTCTGTCAAATGCTTTTCTCCCTGGAAATGGTATTGCTTTCTCTGGAATGTTTCACACGATGGTATTAAACCATTCTATCTTCATGTAGGCCAAACCAGACCAGGTTACAGGTCAGATCTGTGGAGAGGTTTTTTGAAGTATTTTTGACCACCTGTAGTTTAATAAATGTAAAGTAGAGCTGTTTAATGTCATACTGTGGAACATTCCAGGCAGAGCTATGGCATGTCCATGGAAACAAGCAGGTGACGAACCCCCAACCAAAAAGTTACGTATTGCTCCATTAAATTATATCTAATTGGACTTTAATCATTTTGCAAGTCTACATAAATTATCAAAAATATTATAATTCCTAAGAAAATATCCAATAATAAGTTTTTATTGTTAGCGTTAAATATTAAATATTATTTTTTTGTCTTCATTGATTGACAGCACCGATTTTCATAGTAAGCTTTAAACCTCTATTCTTGTTTCCCATTATTTTTTATTTATTTTTTACTACTAGATACATTTTCTTTTTGGGTTGACCTGCTTTTAATTTGTATTTAATTTTGTATTTAATTTGTTTTTCTAGGCTGGTGCTTGGCCCCTCACACACGTCCCCTCCTCCACATTCGCTATCCCTCAAGAGCTAGAGAAAAGTGTTCAGATGGTGAGTTCCCACACTGCAGGTTCAGTCAAAAAACTATTATTCTAAATGTCATAATAATATAATCTCTCTTTTCTTTTCAGTTTGAGTTGTTCTATAATCAGCATTTCAGTGGAAGGAAACTCACGTGGCTCCACTATCTCTGCACAGGTAAAACTGCAGTACATGGGTTGTTTGTTTATTTGGATCTCCATTATTATTCCTGGGGTCCACAGCTTAAAAAAAAGTATATTAAATCACAATATGACAATTCTGATAGTTGAATTATTCTGAATTATCTCTTTTCTTTAATTTCATTCTGGATCCAAATAGAAAGCTTTTCATTTTGCATATATTTAAAATCAACTTATTTGCCCGAGCCCAACTTACGATCTGCATTCAAAGTTTTAGACAGTACTGATGAAGGAGGCACGTAAATGGTGGTTTCATCTGCACCTCAGTTTTAGCATAATCTTAAACAAGAGGCAGGTCATTGATGAATATTAAAAACGACACAGGCCCTAAGCAGCTGCCCTGGTTTATCCAGGCTGGCCCCACCTAGTGCCTCTGCTCAATTTCATTTCTCTCTAGCAACTAGGTCAGGAATCAAAATACAATAGACTGTTCGCAAAAACCTTGGAAGTGCAAGTTCAGGCACCAGCCAGTCAGTGAAGAGTGATATATTCAGTGTTGTCAACGATTCCTGAGATCGAGGATTTAAAGTCGGAACAAAGAGAATGTTTAGTGAATTTCATAAAGGGGAAAGACGTTATTGCCCTTCTTCCTACAGGGTTTGGGAAAAGCTTAATATACCAGTTAGCCCCATTAGCGGTGCATTACATACGTCACGACCAAATAGCAGCGATTGGTTAAATGATAAAAAGTACCCACGTACCATCGAGCAAACGAAATCTAAGGCTGTGAGGTCAGACGGTTTTTACAAAGTGAAACTGGCTGATTAATCAGGCTAGCCCTGAGGTACCTGCAATTAAATTCTTTCTTTCTCCATTAATATCTAAGCTAATCATAAAAGCAGACCTAATATGCAAAATTTACTTTTCAGAGGTTTTGACCATGTTAAAGTTGTTTCCTTTCCTCGTTTCTCCTCTCAAAGTTTTGGAGTGATTTGGCCATGTTTGACTAATATTGTACTGAATTTTCTTAATTGGTGAAATAGTGTTGTGTAGTCATTTTGGTACAAATGGAAAAAAAAAATGCTGCTCGCTAGTATGATGCTATCCATCAGAGGAGCCAGCAAGTCGTTTTAGATGAATATTGCGATTTAAAATGTAAGTTATAATGTAATGATTATAACTGTAGCAGACACAAGCCCTATATGTCCTATATGTATTCTTTAACTGTTTCAAGTGACTGAATTTCAATTGATTGAAATTCTATTAATTGTGCAGCTCCACATGTAGGAATAATATAAATTACATGAATATAATTGATAATGTTCTTGTTGACAATGCTAAGGGCCTTCCAAAAATGTGAGAAAACACAAGCCTATATGATGAATAATGCAGGTGTTTGAGTGTGTTTAAACCTTTTTTTCTGTACCAGGTGAAGTAAAGATGAACTACCTGTCGAAACCCTACGTTGCCATGGTGACGACGTACCAAATGGCTGTGCTGTTGGCGTTTAACAACAGTCTGACGGTGAGCTACAAAGAGCTTCAGGACGGCACGCAGATGAACGAGAAGGAGCTGCAGAAGACCATCAAGTCTCTGCTGGACGTCAAGATGATTAACCATGACTTGGAAAAGGTCAGGAGCTTAAAGAGAACAATAAAAAACTGAAAGAACACAGGCTACATATAGTTGCTTTAATATGTACGATTTTAAAATGTACGTGAACAAAGCAAAATACAACTCCAGATATCTTTTGATGAGAAAGTAAAGTACATTTTATAGACACTTAATGCAGACTGTCTCAGAAACTAACTTATATCTCTCCAATATTAGACTATTAATACACACAGAGATATAAGGGAAACACGAGGAGAGGCTGTGGACCCCTCTCAGGGACATGGGGGTGATGTGAGGTGATGTGAGTGATTATGGAGCACTGACCCCAGGAGACACAGCTCTGATGGCTCCTCGTATATACCTTCTCTGTACTACGCTTCCCACATAAACTTAACATGCCGCTTTCTGATCTGAATGGTTGCTACCTAAACCCAACCCAACACACACACACAAAATGCACTGAGTTCCATTCATGTACTAGAGACTGAGTATAACCTTAAAGTGCCTATGACTTGTTGGACTACACATAAAACACAGTTAAGATCATTATTTTTTTTTTATTTTACAAAACATTTTACTTTTTCTTTCCCAGTCTGGACATTTTTTAGGTTTCAAGTTTTACTTCCTGGTTAGAAATCATGGCATCACACTTTCAGCAACTATTACCTAGCAACCATTTTTTTCAACATATTCTTCAACTTTTCTTCACAAACTGCCTCTAGATTGGTGTAAAACTATAATTTGTACCTACAACAAATATTACATCACCAAATGAAGTAGGAATTAGAGAATCATCGAAATGTACAGTGTGATTAGTATTTGGGTATTTGGATTGCAGTTTTAATGATGTATTTAAAAAAAAAAAATCTGCTTGACTTTGTGATAATATATTTGATATTTAACACCATCAAATACTGCAGAGGTTTCCTCCCACTTGAGCCATGGCCTATTGTCATTTATTTAATATAAAAAGTCTAAATAGAAGCCGTAGTGACCTCATACAAAAGTACTAATACTGCACTCAAGCCTGCACTAGTGAGCTTGTGTTTTTAATGTTGTACAGCACTTTGGTCGGCTTTAGTCGTTGGAAGGTGCTATAGAAATAAAGTTTGATTGATTGTAACTGCCTTGTACAATTTAAAGTAGATGAATGCGTTTGGGTTTTTTAACAGTAGATAGCAAATGTGAGCTGTGGTCTTTGGTCAGGTCAAAGCTGGCACACTGTCAGACTACAGTAACATAGACAGCCTCTCGTGGTGGTCTGTGACAATACAACAGGAGAATACAACATGGAGATGTTATTGCTTTCTCTGGAATGTTTCACAGTATGGTATTAAATTTTTCTATCTTTATGGAGACCAAACCAGACCAAGTTACCCAAGCGACCCCATTCACAGTCAGAATGTCTGTTTTTTCTAGGTGTTCCTGAGTAATAAAACCACCTTTAATTAAATAAATGTAAAGTAGAGCTGTTTAATGTCGTACTGTGGAACATTCCAGGCAGAGCAATGATATATCTACAGAAACAAGCAGGAGAAATTCAGTTCTGTCACCTCCAGAGGACAGAACTGAATTTGTCATTTGCCATGGATCCTACCAGGACGATTGAGGCATTAGACAAACACCCTTTAACCTTACACTTAACAATACTGTAGTTGATATTGAATTTCTAATAATAACCTATTCATAATTTGACTCTATTCTGAAGTCAAACCTCTGTAATATTGGGGTAGCTGCTCTTTCCATTAGTCTGTAAACATAATTTAATAAAGTATTTTTTTCACGTGTTGCAGGAGGACATTGAGACTGAGTCGACGTTTTCACTAAATATGAGTTTTACCAGTAAAAGGACAAAGTTTAAGATCACTACATCAATGCAGAAAGACACACCACAGGTATGGCCTTTCTTTTCTAGTGTTCCACACTAGGCACAAGGAGACAAGATTTTTGTGGTTTTGTTCCAGGAAATGGAGCAGACGAGGAGCGCAGTAGACGAGGACCGCAAAATGTATTTACAAGCTGCTATAGTGCGAATCATGAAGGCCCGCAAGGTGCTCCGGCATAACGCACTCATCCAGGAGGTGGGTGTATTTTATTTTATATTTTTGTATTTAACATATTTTTCAGGCTATAAGTCGCACCAGCCAAAAAATGCATAATGAAGACGAAAAAAACATATATGTCACACTAGACTATAAGTTGTACTTAAAAAATGTATTTTATGAAATCAGACAACAGGTACCAACATTTCACCGATATATTAAGTTCTTCAGATAACTATAGCATAAACAACAGAACAGAACAAGTTTAACAAACTTTCCATCTCACTCCAAATCACTAAATCCATTGAATTCTTCATCCTCTGTGTCACTTTTGAGCAACTCCACGACCTCCAGAGGTAAACAGAGCACCGCTTCCTCTTCTGCGTAGATCGTCAGACTCAGCATCAGTTCCAGTTAGAATTATTTTGGCCTTTCTGAATCCCGACAAGATGGTTTCAGTTGTCATTGAAGTTCAGGCTTTATGGATTCATCCAGTGACTTCCAGGAAAATTTCATGGTGCACCCTTCCAGTTGCCGTGAAGCTGTGTTCTCCATCCTCACTTTCCGCCAGTCCCTCAGAAGTTTCTCACTCACTCCAAACTTTCTTTCTGCTGCTGCTGATTTCTGTTTTGGCTTTCACTACTTGCAGCAAGACAGAGGCTCTTTCTGCAGGAGACATGTGCAGTAGAGGGCGAAGTGACAGTGGTACAGGAATAATAGGAGTAGCAGATACTGGCACATAAGCCTAGAGCCTCTCGTGGCTGGCTGTGTGAAAATTTTAATATATAAGTCACACCAGAGTATAATTCACGGGAAACACCCAAACCATGAAAAAAAGTGTGACTTACAGTCCGAAAAATACGATACTTTTTAATGTATGTATGTATTCATTCCTTCACCCATGTGATTACAAACATTTATTTTATGGTACTATTTCCTCTTGTAAGAACTTAAAACCATATTGTGTGTGCCAGATTGTTTTCTTTTCCTAATGCTGGTTTCCATCTAAGTTCTAAATATATGCCCAGTGTGTGGATGTAAAGCAGAGGTTCACATGCACTTGAAACACATGCTGTGAGTTCCGTGGTGGTGAGGTAAGGCTGCTATGATAGGCATCAATATGGGACCATGTCAGAGCATGTTGGTCATGTCACAAGTCTCTCCATAGGAGCTACCTCACACACACTCACTGTACGTCTCCTTCAGCTGCTGTACACAAGCTCACAGATCATGGGGTTATACAGTACATCGATTTTCTGTTTGAATATTTCACTATATTCATTACGTTTTACCTAAGATTCTTGTACATTCATGAGACAAAGCACAAAATTTAACACTTGGTTTTTTTTCTATTTTGTGAGGAAATTGTTACATTTCTATTGTGCATTTATTTATACAAGTGAACTTTTTGGAGTTTCTGTTAAGGCTGTACAATTAGTTGAATTTTGCTCGCGATTTCGATTTGTGTGTCAATCTCCAAACTCATATAGTTGAGTTGAAACGATTTAAAGCTTAAAGTTTATTTTTCGGATATTTTTAATATAAATAAGTATATTCATAAAATGTTTTAAATATAGATATTACAGAACAGCTGGATATAGAGTTTATTTTGGAGACTTTTATGTTTTTCTATGCCTTATTTCATGTAAAAAGTATATTTTTAGTTTTATACATTGCAAAACTGCTCTAAGATTCATATTTGTAGCCTATATTTATTTTCAATTTGAGAGTTTTGCATAAATTAATTAATAATAAAATATTTTTTTCTGAGAGAGAAATGTGGAATAAATGCATAGTGTAACTAAAAAAATAACTGTTGGAATAATCGTGATTTCAATATTGACCAAAATAATTGTGATACAAATTTTTTCCATAATCGAACAGCTCTAGTTTCTGTTTTCAAATAATATGATCACTGTAGCCAGTTTTAAACTATATATCACTAGTTCATTTGTGACTAATCAGGGCACTAACTCCAGGCATGTTTTGGGTGTTTCAAGAGCTGCTGCAGGTTTTTTCTCTACTTTGAGGTCAAGTTGTTTCATAGAGAAAATCCCACTCTCAAAGAGATGCCGTGAACGCAACTGGTATTCACTTTGTTGATGTTTTATTGGCATGGCTGATGAGTACAAGCTGTGATTTCAGTCATGTAGCTGTAATTGACACCACAACTGTTCTATATACAGGTCTGGTCTGCGTGATTCTCCTTTCAGCTGCAACAAACATTTCCTTCATACAACAATGTTAAAGACGCTGTACATCATTTTTACTGTCTTTAAAAACGTGGAATTTTTAACGGTTTACAGTGGTCCAAAGTTATTCTTCACTTACCTTATGCATTCTGTCTTGAATATGAGTCTTGCTGTGGCGGGAAATTTGGCAACAATTAGCAAAGAAGTGTATTTCCTGACTATAAAGTAAAAAAAATAAATAAATTAGTAGTTATAGTTATAGTAGTTTATTCTGTCATTTTACGACACTACAAAACAAAACAAAACACAACATAGACTACAATCCTATTGATCATGACTCAAAGGGTTTAGGCTGAAGTAAAAAGTACTTATGATGCCATAACCTATTAAATAATGACAGAATTCCAAGAAAAAAGCAGCATATGAACAGCAAGTTTACATTTATGACATACTGTATATAAGAAAGATTCTGACCTCAAGAGCTGCTTATATAAGATATTTATGTTGGGGCAAGCCGATTTTCACTCAGATATATGGAAAATGTATTTTTTACATGTTATGTGCTGTTACAATAATTCCAGTGTTTTTCCATATTAAAGGGCCAATATTAGGCTATTTACTGATCTGTTATAATGTTGTTTCCTCATCACAAACAGACCTGGAGTTGTGTTTTGTTTCATTCACACATTTAACACACAAACCCTGCAGATTTTGGCTGAATTCTTCTCCAGTCCACCTTGTGATGTCATGTGGTAATACAGGATAATGTGGATAATGTTGATAATTTGCAGTCCTGAAATTGCCGATCTCTACTCGACTAAAGGTAAAAGGTAGCTGGTAACCTGAAAACTACCAATTCATGACATCACAAGGGGGATTTTTTGTGTATTTTGAGCTATGGAGATTTAGATGTAGGCAAATTTTACGATAAAAAGTTACTCAAACAAGTGTGAATGAAACAAAACACAACTACAAGTATGTTTTTGATCATGTAACAACATTATAACATGGCTTAAATCTCACAATAATCAATTTCTCATAATATAGGACCTTTAACGTTTTTCTCATCTCATTTTCTTGTTTCTCACAGGTCATCAACCAGTCCAAAGCCCGGTTCAACCCCAGTATCAGCATGATCAAAAAGTGCATCGAGGTCCTCATAGACAAACAGTACATCGAGAGGAGCCAGACGTCTGCGGACGAGTACAGCTACGTCGCATAGGCCCCTCCCCCTTTCACCACAAGCCCCGCCCACTCCAACCAGTACAAACACAGTACCGTAACACCGCCACATACAAGTGACTCTACCGACCGAGCAGGACCGGAGCCTCAACTTTATACAGAAATCACATTGTTACTCTGAAGGCCAGTAGCGCCCCTTAAGCCGCAGTGTAAAATTGAAGTTTACATCACCAGTGCCACGCCCAAAACGCGTCAAAACGAATACAACGAATGCCTATAGGAAAGAGCGATAAACATACTAGCACAGAGAAATGAAATGATTGAAAAAAGAAGGGGTCTAGGAGCATTGATTAAGACTTTTCTTTACTCACGTTTGCAGTTGTCGTGTGTTTATTTTTCTTTCTTTGTTAAATGTACTCCAGTTAGGAAAAAATATTGTAATAAAACTGGTATACTGAATTATGTATCTACTTTCAAATGTAAAGAGGTGACAAACATCCTGCTGCTTGTCAGAGAAATCAATAAACACTGAAGATTTTATGTAAAAATAGTCTCATGGGTTTTAGTTTTAGCAGGCTCCTCTGTATTTTCTATACTGACCCCCTCTTCTGCTTCCTCTGCTTCATCTGACCCTCTCTGCTTCATCTGACGCTCTTCTCTTCATCCTCTGCTTTATTTGACCCTCTCCTCTACATCCTGACCCTCTACTCTTCATCATCTGCTTCATCCTCTCCTCTCCTGTTCATCCTCTGCTTCATCTGACCTTCTCCTCTACAGCCTGACCCTCTACTCTTCATCCTCTGCTTCATCCTCTCCTCTCCTGTTCATCCTCTGCTCCATCTGACCCTCTTCTTTTCATCCTCTGCTTCATCTGACCCTCTTCTTTTCATCCTCTGCTTCATCTGACCCTCTCCTCTGCATCCTTTGCTCCATTGTCTGCAACTCTGTCTGACCCTTTCCTCTGTTCGTTTCGCAAAAATGGGAATAACCTGTTCATATAATGGATGAGAAAAACTTGTATGTGTAATCTATATTAAGGTTAAGGAAGGTTCAGTTGTGATTGTAATTGTCTTCTTAAAAACGTGGTACAATCCTAACTGAATTGTGACGCACTGTTTGTGTACAAAGTGTTTGTGTGTCCGCTGCTTTTTGGACAAACCGAAAGAATAAAGCAGCACGAAGATACGGGACTTCAGAGCCCTGGATTATGACAGTGACACCTTCACTCACTCCCATCCACCTCCAGGCTGCATCACCACGTGACCAAAACAACGAGTCCAAACAACAGCTAAAGGTTCAAATACAACTCCGAGCCGCTACGAGATCCTCACCGGCTCACAGGGCTCGGTGCTGAGCGTGTGTGTGGCCTCTGCGCTCCCAGCGGACTGGTCCCCGGGCGTGCGCCTCATCTGCGGCTTGTCCTGCACATGTCCTGGGTGTAACGGTTGCAGATTCTGCGTCAGGCCATATACAGAAGACAGGACACAGTGTGGAGTCAGTCCGCTTTATTCCTGTGACAAATAAATACTCTATTAATATGTCTCTGCATATCAGAACTGGCTCCCCTCCTCTGCAGTCTCCAACAAGCTACCGCGAAGGGAAGCTTACACTTACAGACTGGCTCATTTATGTATATCATGTATGAACAACAAAATAATTTCCAATCCAGTACAGTGGAGCAAATATCCGGAGAAACAATTGCACAATCCACACCCTTCACAAAAATCAAACATACCTGTGACATATAAACGCTCTATTAATATGTCTCTTCATATCAGCACTGTCTCCCCTCTGCAAGAATGAAAACAGCACAGAGACGGCCGTTCATTTTCCCGGCTTTCAGCACTAGACTATGACATTAAGCTGACTTTTACAATACAAATAAAATATACAAAACTCAAAACCAGCGCACCACAACACTTTCACCACATGTTAAAAGATGTATTACCAACACGTGTACCTGTTATTTGTGTCAAAAGTGCATTGTTTTTTTATCAAATATATTAGTTTTATCTTCAGACAGAACTCACCCTGTGCAGTCTCCAACAAGCAACTGAGGGGAAGTTGAACTATCAAAATAAAATAAATGCGGGAGCAGCGCGCACTTCCGGTTTTCAAAAATAAAACGTTAAAACGATCGAATTCACATAAATTACAATTAAACATAAAATATAAACAAAAAATGGTAACATGTGCATTTTTAACTCCGTTACATGGGCGTCTCCCCACTTGTCCTGGGTGTCTCACGGGTGCTGCTCAAACAAGTGCTGAGAGCAAAGTAAAGCGCGGAAAGTAGCTTAGAAAAAGAGCAAAGCATGTAGCCTAGCCTATTTCAAATACCATTCAAAAATGCACTTAAAAATAAACCATTAAAATATAGTGTATTACACCAGCATATGCCAATGAAATATAGCGCAAACACCTTCCCAAACACACACAGGACAGTGTCCTCTAGGAGACTGTCGGAGAAGGACTGTCCGCACACGCCTGCGTCCTGACGTCAGCGCGCACAGCTCCTGTTGCCTAGCGCATATCAGCGCGTGTTTTGAACTACTGCAAATTCTGCAACTTTGGCTCTGGTTAAACTCGTGCATTTGACAAGTACTTTCGACATTTTCCTAAGAAAGAGGACGTCACTTTGGGGTATTTTTGACCACCCCCTCTTCTGACCACCCCCTGACTCAGATTAGGACACTTCTGTGAAGAAAAAGGTGAGGTTTGCATGTTTCACCTTAGTCCCTATGGGATTTGACCATGAAGTACAATCGTACATATGACTTTATTATTCAACAAAACAAACTCCAATTAAGCTCAAATGTCTTTTACCAAAGTCTAGATCATGTTTAGGGTAAGTTTACTTCAAGAAATGTGTGCCCTTGTGCTTCTGATCGCCTTTACATGAGCTCAAATGAAAAGCATTAACGTTAGCTCACAGCACTGAGTACAACTACAGCCTAATAGGAAAAGTCTTAAACATGGACTTTTAGGCTCCCGTAGTTTGTTTAAAGGTGCACCTGATTTTCTGAGACTGGACCAAATGAAGATGACACATTCCCCTAAGTATCTCCAGTCCACTGTAATGTTCCTCTCAGTGTTCCTGATGTTAGAGACCAAGTCTAGTCAGGACAGGCCTTGTATTTCAGTACAACCTCCCACTGCCTTTTTAGCTTTGTAACATTCACTACTGACCATATAAACAGTCTATGACTTTGAATCTGTAATAAGAATACAGCTATTATTATATCAAAACATGTGAGTGTAAAAGGACAAACATGAGTGAACAGAGTTGAAGTAGTATTATGGCGTAAAGGGGCCACACTTTGGAAAGTGTTAAAGAACTGAACAATGCTGGCTCTGTGCTGGAAAACAAGTATGGGGACTAACAAAGCAGGACAGGTCCAGTTATTTTCACCATAAAAGTGTCCCCAGAGACACCAGCTTTACCTATTCTGATATTTAGCCCAAAGAATTCAGACAGAAATTGAAATGTGACTTTCCTCTGTATACAGCTTGTCCCCACTTACAATGACAGTAGATCAGGCCGAAACTACAAAGTCTGAGCTTCACAAAGAGTCCAAACATTCGTTGTATATTTAAAAGAAAATCACTTCATCTCTTAATACAGTGGCTTTTATTTGACAAAGTTGTAATAACTATACATTGTACACAAGTGTGTCTTGAGCTTTACACCAACTGTACTTGTCAAACTGCAGTGTGAATCGTAGCCTTCTTGTACACTGAGTTTCACCCTTCAGGTTCTCTGCTCTGGCTTGCACACGGATACGGCCGTGTGCGGCACACGGATACGGCCGTGTGCGGCACACGGATACGGCCGTGTGCGGCACACGGATACTTGATGGTGCTGTACTCTTGGATGTTAGCTGTTAGCATGTTAGCAGTGGTGTGTGACACTTTGTGTTCCTCTCCACAGATCTGTGTGATCCTTGGCCCAGTGTTCCAACAGGCATCTAGAACCTCCTACAAGACCCACCTCTGACCCTAAGTTCACACACACACACACACTCAAACACTCACACAAACTCACACACTCACACAAACTCACTCACACTCTCTCTCACATTCACTCGGACTCTGCTTTAGCTATGTCCTCCTCTTCTAACTTCCCCCCAAAGCGCTCCTCTTCTACAGAGCCTTCCTCTGCTCCTGTGAAGGTTCCGAAGATGACCTCCTCCTCTCCTGAGGCGCCTAAGCTCCCTCCTGTTCTTGCCAGGTTATTCCCTTGCCGTCCTGCTCAGCGCCTCCCTCCTGCTCTTCCCGAGTCTTTCCTCCCTGCTGAGCTCCTCTTTGCTCCTCGTGCGAAGGACTTCTCTGCTGCTCCTACCAAGCCCCTCCCTGCCTTACTGGGGTCCCCTGCCGGGCTCCTCCCTCTTCCGCCAGCTGAGGTCCTGTTTGCTCCTCGTTCCACGCCCTCCTCCGCTCCTCGTCCTGCGCCCTCCTTGGCTCCCCGTCCTGCGCCCTCCTCCGCTCCCCGTCCTGCGCCCTCCTCGGCTCCCCGTCCTGCGCCCTCCTTGGCTGCTCGTCCTGCGCCCTCTTCGGTTCCCCGTCCTGCGCCCTCCTCCGCTCCCCGTCCTGCGCCCTCCTTGGCTGCTCATCCTGCGCCCTCCTTGGCTGCTCCTCCTGCGCCCTCTTCGGTTCCCCGTCCTGCGCCCTCCTCCGCTCCGCGTCCTGCGCCCTCCTTGGCTGCTCGTCCTGCGCCCTTCTCCGCTCCCCGTCCTGCGCCCTTCTCCGCTCCCCGTCCTGCGCCCCGCTCGGCCCCCCGTACTGCGCCCTCCTCGACTCCTCCTGCCAGCGGCCTCAGGATCGTTCCTCTCCCAGACTCCATGCTTTCTGGCTTCCTCCCTCCTCGTCGGAAGCGGCGCTCTTCGCCTCAGTGCGCTCGTCCTAATAAAATTGTTAAGCTCTCCTCCTCTTTTATGCAGGTCCCTGAGCCGTCACCTGCTGCTGACAATGCCCCGAGCCCTAGCCCCACCCCTTTTGCCCCACAGGTGGAGGTGAAGCCTGCGCTCCTGTTACCTGGACATAAGGTGGTGAAGATGGAGGCCGACCTGCAGGAGCGTGGGCTAGACAGGAGAGATAGGAAAAGGTAAGTAAAGTGCAGAGGCTGAAAAACACAAGTCCTCTTTCATTTTTAACAAGCAACTTTTTCTGTCTCTGTGTTTGTTTGAAGGAAAAGGAGAAGACCTGGGAGTCAGAGACCACCTCCCACTTAAGTCGGACGTATCCTTTTATAGTGACTTGTAAATAGTGTGGCAAAGAAAAAACAACAAAAAAATGTTTGCATTTAGTGTGCTTTTATTATTCTGCTGTAAATAGTTTGTCATTGTGTGTCAAAAAAAACAAAAAACACAAAAAAAAGAGTTTAAGTTTAGCTAAGTTTGGTGTGGTGTTGTTATTACGATGTTGTAAATAGTGAGTCAAACTAAAAATGCCCCCAAAACCAGGACTAACTCAAGACTAAACATGATGGACTAAACCAGGACGACACTCAGAATATCCCTGGACTAAACCAGAGCTAAACATGGACAAA